GTGTCCGACTCGAGTTGGGTAATACCGTGGGGTTTGCTTTGCAAGGCCGCAAGACCTGCGAGACCTCCACACGCTATGCGAATGACTAGAGGGACAGCGAGAGGTATGCAAATGCCCTACAATGGGCTCCCGCGGGGAAAGCATCCACATTCACTGGATCTATGTTGACGGTGGTATACTCCAGAGGATCTTAGATATCTGAGCAGAAGAACGGAACCGGGGAATAGTTCTGGTGCCACAGTATGTAAAAGCTGCCGGTGCTACAATTTGGGAATGAGGACGGTAGTAGTAGTACGCATGGGACAGTAAAGTTACACCCGAAGCTGTTGAGTAAATGGGCCGTGCCTCATCATGCAACAGCGATACAACTGCTGAGTTGGTCATTCCAGAGGCAACCGTGGGTTTCTCGCCAGCCGAGAGATCTAAATGGGTTGCGTGGCAGCAGGCTATTTGAAAGCTGTTACAGCAGTCGGCATCCGTGAATCAAACCATCTCAGGCACATATGCGCTTTGGAACTGTGCAGCTTCCATAATTGACCCAATGACATAGGTCACAGGGCTACGCACTAACATCATTGGCTGATGACAATAATTCCCATTGTCCGAGCCTGGGCATCCGGGCAGCTCGGTGTACAATCGCTCTGATATCATTTCTTGGATTGAGGTACGTACCGTCACGCATTAATTACACTTCACGTGCAGGCTTGTGTCGTGGTTCCGGGCCACGGCTGATCTCCGGACGTTGTGCTAGGTCTCGGAGCCCTAAACGCACCAAGTGCCCAGCCCTCTCTCGCTTTCGGGAAAAAGAAGCCCTTTCTAGATTAGGCTAAGCGCCCTCTTACCCAAGGCACAACCAGCCCTTCAAGCGGAACTTGGATTTTTTGCCCGTCCCATATATCGCGACTACTTCACCAAACCAACCGGGACGACTAACCCCTCCAGCACAGCAGGACAGCAGCAGATTCTCGCCGGGCCGTTCGAGAGTTTGCCAGATATTCAGCTGTGACTTATACCATTTCATTCTCTCATTTCGCAGCAAGTGAGAAAGGGCAGCACAATGTCGTCGCAGTTCGAGCAGGTCGTGAGTACACACCCACAAGTCCTTTCAAAACAGTCATCGAATTGTGCGAGAGGGTGTCGAGATGCAACGGAGCCAATCCCTTGAACAGTCTCTTGGTTCAATGTATCGACATGGAATGAACCGAGCGATGGGCTTTTATGTGACGGACGGCGACGGCGCATCTCGACATCTTTACTTTCTCGAATTCCAAATATGGCTTGTGACTCGAAGAACATCTGGCTAATTCACTTCTCTCACAGGTCGTTATCGACGGCAAGGGTCACCTTCTCGGCCGTCTGGCCAGTATCGTGGCCAAGCAGCTCCTTAGCGGTCAGAAGATCGTTATCGTGCGCGCTGAGGCTCTCAACATCTCTGGAGAGTTCTTCCGTGCTAAGCGTACGTCCCGACCTCCCAACACTTGCGGATCGATCCCAATCATGGAGACAACGTCTCTCTCGACGAAATCAACACCGCACTTTTGCTAGGATTATTGGCTAACGATTGTACAGTCAAGTACGCCGCCCACCTCAGGAAGATCACCCGTTACAACCCCACACGTGGTGGTAAGTTTATGGCAGGAAACACATCCCGAAAACCTGTGAGATGCTGACAATCGACGCTCAGGTCCCTTCCACTTCCGTGCCCCTTCACGAATCTTCTACAAGGCCGTCCGTGGCATGATCCCCCACAAGACTGCCCGTGGTGCCGCCGCTCTCGAGCGCCTTAAGGTCTTCGAGGGTGTCCCTCCCCCTTACGACAAGAAGAAGAAGATGGTCGTTCCCCAGGCTCTCCGTGTTCTCCGTCTCCAGCCCGGCCGCAAGTACTGCACTGTTGGCCGTCTCAGCCACGAGAACGGCTGGAAGTACCAGGACGTCGTTGCCCGGTATGTTTAAGCAACCTATGAAAATGACGGTGTGGGAAGGAACTTTTTACTGACCATTTCAATAGTCTGGAGGACCGAAGAAAGGCTAAGGCTCTTGCCTACTACGAGCGCAAGAAGACCGCCACCCGACAACTGGCCGAGGCAAAGAAGACTGCCGGCACCAAGACTGAGACGACCCAGGCCCTCGCTGCCTACGGCTACTAAATTAGCCATCTCTGACCAATCCCCGGAGCTCGACATGGAATTCCTGGTGACCTGGTCATTGTCCAACATTTCTCATGCGTTTCATTAGATCGGCGCGGCGGTTTTCACAAAGGGATTTACTTGATTTTGCTGCAGGGTGATGGGGCAAAGGGCGGCTGCGCGGCTGCGACTTTGGACCGGGTGGATTATGGGCTGGATGGTTGATCAAAACAGATGCATTGATGTCAGTGAAGACCTCACAACATGGTTGGAAGGCCATCCCGAAATAAAGCACAGAAACCCAAAAAACAAATCAAGATGATGACGCATGAGGATAATGGAAAAAGAGAGGTTGCTGATGATGTGCTGACGACGGGGATGGGCCATCTCCTTTTGCGAGTGCCAATGGCGAAGTGAATTCTGACTGCCGGGGAGCCCTTGTTGGGATTCTCCGATGGACGGAGTTGCTTTGGTTGGACTCATCCCACATGAATTGCTCTTTTTTGCATTTTTGGATATTTTAGGAGTAGAGAACAGGAAAAATGAATCGTAAGTAATTGCTTCTTCCACCTAAAAGTCCTCTGAAATGTGCCCCTACACCATGTCCTCTATATCGCATGCTTCCATCGTAGTTCTCAATGGTTTCTGCTCTTTATGCATAAGTTATGCTACTTGTGAAGCGAGATCATTGGGCGTTTGCGAATAGAACTATTGGTGGGCTAAGAGCACATTCCAGCGTACTCGAAAAGACCCAGAACTCTATACCTATCCACAGGAATCATATCATGTGTAATTAAAAATTAAGCCTACATTGAAAACATCGTGATTACTTTGAGTTTGGCATTGAAGGAATACAGCCCTACATCAAGGGTTATACCGTCATGTAGATGTGTGTGGTGTCGCATCCCCAGTCATGTGCCGATAAGATAAGGACCGCCAACTTTCTGCTGAGGTGTCCTATTCTTGAACTTTTGGGTCTGGGGGTTTACAAGTGGCTCGAATCCCCGGCCCCGGCATTTGTAGTCTCATTCAACGACCTCCGTGCACACTCTTTTTCAGAAATTCTACGGATTGCCGTCTCCCAGACAAAAGAATAACACAGTCTTTACGCATTGGCAATTACGAACAAGAGAGGAAAACACAAAACCAGGAACAGCAAGTGCGCAACAGCAAAGAACCGGTTGATCTGTTCAACCTCACATCCAGCTACCGCCACCAACTGAATTAACACCACAACCACAACCGCCCACCATGTCCGACCTAACGCACTTCGACATGCAGCCCATCCTAATGGACCCCAAGTCCAAGGCCATAACCACCGACCCAAACACCAAGGCCTCCCGCGCCCTAACCGCCGAGCTCGAGCTCCTAAACACCCTCCACCGCGCCCTCGTAACCTCCGACTCCGTTCCCCCCTCTGGCGTCCCCCCGCCCCCCGTTCCCGTCAACCCAAAGCGCGGCGCAAACATCACCAAGCTCCGCGACAACGGCAACGCAGAGTACCGCAAGGGCCGCTACGCCGAGGCCCAGAAGCTCTACACCCTCGGCATCCAGATGGCCCTCGGCCGCCCGCTCTGGGAGCCCAGCGCGCTCGTCCGCGAGGAGCTGTCGGGTTTGTACTCGAACCGCGCGCAGACGCACATGGCCCTGCAGAACTGGCCCGAGGGCGCCGTCGACGCCGAGACGAGCGTCGAGGTCAAGAAAATTGGCAACGCCAAGGCCTGGTGGAGGAGGGGCAAGTGCCTGCTCGAGATGGGCCGGCTGGACGAGGCCGCGTCGTGGGTGCGGGGCGGCCTGGAGGTCGAGGGCGAAGAGGGCGAGCTCGTCGCGCTGCTGAAGGAGATTGAGGCCAAGCGGGAGGCTCATTAAGTGAGGGGACGAGATTGTGTGGAAGGACATGTGGTATGAGGGACGTTATTTTTTTCTAATTGGCATTGTCATGTTGTTTTTTCATCTGGGATTAATTTGCAGGAATGGGTTGCTCTAATGCTGAGTTGTTCATGTATGGTTGTATAAGCTATTGAGATGTATAGAAGGAGCTGAGGCTGGCCTTAAGGTAAAGGAGCTTAGACATGCTCGCGAGGTCCAAAAAGGTTAAGGGTTTCTATTCTGGCTGGGCAGAAGTTGAAATCCGGCTACTTCGCACATACTCCGGCGTTAGTTGAAATATATTCATGAACCAGTGGGTGGGCCAGCAACTGATCGGAGTTTCTGCCTAAAATTGAATTCTACATCATTTTCTGTAATGGGTATCAGATGCAAATTCCTCCAAGCTTGATATAAAAACAGAAAGGACGATCATCTCATTGCGTTGAGTGTCTTTGTATCTCATTTCCTCCGGGGTCCTTCATGGCCCATATCTCATGCATAGACTTTCATTCCATTCCGTTTCTCAAACTTTCTTTCCCCCTCCCAAAAGCATGCAAGCAACAACGTTGAAAGAAAACAGACAAAACCCAATGTGCCGCCCTGAAAGAAATCCTGGTATACTTTATCCTCCCACCTTCGGCAACAAATATCAATCCTCCGCCAATCGGTCTAGAAAAACAAGAACGCCATGGCCAGTGGTCATGTTCAGAATGATTAAAATGCAAAAATCGGTCATTCATCCAAACGGGATGAAAGTCGACGAAAAGTTGAGCGAGACGGGTATTGGCACTGGGGGCTTGAGTCGTCGGGTTTCATGGTATACATCGTTGAGCCCTTTCATCACAGCTTCCGTGCCCAAGAGATCATCAAGGAATCATGTCGTCGGTTGTCAGTATTGGAAAGATCGTCTGGGGTCTTTTTCCTTTGGATGACGTTGAAAATACGCTTCAACTTGGACGAGTTTACAGCTTCTTCTTCTGCAGGTTTATCAACAAGGCAACCATTCTATTGTGCCTTCTCATCCAGAGTTTTGTTGACGCTGCTCTTGCCTCGTGGGCGCATGACGGCATCCTGGCTGCTCATTCGGCGGTCGAGCGCGCGGTCCAGCTTGGCACCGAGGGCGAGCTTCTGCATAGAATCCGTCTTTTCCTCGCTCAGAATGACGCGCTGGGAGGAGAGAGCCTTGTTCTCCATGCGATCGAGACCGGTCGCAATATCGCGGATTTCGTTGGTAGCGGAGTCGTTGGTTTCAACAGTCGCGGCCAGGGACGGCGCGGCGGCACTGTAAGTGCTGAACCGGAGCGAGGCACGGGTCTTTGCGCGGGAAGTTTGCGTGTTAGCTGGCATTGTTGCGGCAACGCGGTTTATGCTGGAGGAGTGTCGATTCGAGTGTGCTAAAGAGTAGATCGGGGGATGCTCGTCTACTCTTGGTGCTGAAGAAGTTCAAGGGGTTTGGGGAGGAAGGCGGGCAGGGCAACTGAAGAGCCAAAGCCAGGCCAAACAGGCGTTATGCTTGCCGGAATATCTGTGCTGGGGAGGGGTTCGTGGAAATTGAATTGGCCTTGTCTCAGGCGGTGATGGAAATTGGAATGTAATGCAGGCTGATGCGAGGGAGGCAGCGTCAAGACAGACTTGGTCAAAGACAGAGCACAGATCCCAGATTGCAGAGAAACGGAGCAGGACTGATTGACAAGAGGGTTGAAACAAGAGGCGGCGGCAAGGGGAGGAAAAATACATACTGATGGAGCCATGATGGGGCGGGAGGAGTCCAGGGATCCAGGCATGGTTGACTATGGATGACACAGGCTAGAGCGATCTTACCAACTGCGTAATGGTCGGATCTTTGGACGGAGAATGGAACGGCGGATGACGGCGCAAGAAATGGTCGATGAGGGTATCCCGATACGATGAGCGGTTTGAAGATGGATGTAGGTCAAGAGAGCGAGGGCGCAGAGGGTGTGTGCGTGGTGGTGTGAAGTTATTGGGCGAGGAAGGTCCAGGGCACAGAGGAATCGGGCTTCAAGTTGAGCTCAGGCGCGCCCGGAGGGGATTTGACTCTGGAGATGGTGGCCGGGGGTTTGGCGTCCTTGTGATGGGAGTGGACCTAGGGTGGTCTGACGACGGCGTGGGCAACCTTGTGATGTATTTCGGCTTGGTCTGGTCCTTACCCCGTTGAGGGTCGGAGAGGGCGATTTGCGTTGTTGGCTGGAGAGCTGTGGGAAGCCAGGAACAGCGGACGGCCGTAAGGGACAAGAGATGGACGGCACTAAGAGGATTAATCTGGGACCGCAGACGTCAAGAGGCGACCAACGGCAAACAAGCAACAAGGTGCAGCAGGAGAGCGGGTTTGGCTGGGACCAACGATGCTTCTAATTAAAGCGAGGAGAGAAGAAGAGCAAACAGCGCAAGTTAAGTTCTAGGATGGGAGAGCTACTGTGGATAGGCGTGGGCGGACCAGGCTAACCAAGTTGAGGGGACCAAGGGGTTCCAACGGGTCTGGGAGGCTGCTGTGGTTGGCCCGAGCCAGCAGAGGTGGAGGCCTGAGACAGGGGACAGGCACGAGCTGCACCGGTGCAGGCTCCAGCGCGAGCCCGTCTGTAACTACCAGCTGCGCGCAGGTGCTGGGATCGGCAGTGCTGGGGCAGGCAGGCGGCTGTCAATTCCCTAATTCTTACCTGCTGCCCGCTCGTCCGTCCATCGGTCGCTGCAATGGACGGCAGGGTAGGTAAGGTAGCCTTGATGTCGCGCTCGGGGGATCTGTCCATGCAGCGAGCACACTCACATTCGCGCACGCCACAGCCTAGAGGTTAGGGACGGCAGCGATGTGCCTCAGGCGGCTCCTCATTCGACAGGTTTCACGTGGTCGGTGGGGGCTAGACTCAGGGGAGCCCTTGCCATGTGCGAGCTGCAGCGTGCGTGCGTGCCTGTTCACAAGCCAGACATACATGTACAGCAGGTAGCCACTGCCCGTCATGCCCTGGAGCGTAATGTAGCACGTACATGCTGCGTCGGCGTCCACCTCAGGCAGGCGCAAGGAACTGCGACATCCGGTCCGTAGACAGTGCGAACAGCCCCCACCGGCCGTTGCGGAAACACTGCAGCCCTGACAGATCTAAGGTACCGAGGCCACAGCTCAAGTGAATATTACGAGACCGGCAGATGATGCACGGCTCGGTGGAAAGATATAAAAAAACCGCCCTCAGCTTCCCATCCGTCTGCTGCCCCAAATACCCAGATATGCCGGCTCGCAGAGGGTCCTCTCCTGTAATCCTTCGGAGATTTCTGCCCATGCAGGCTCTACCGAGCACGTACCCAGGCACAGGAAAGCGGGAGACGCATCATTGATCCCTCAGGCCCAGGCTCAGGGCTGTATCGACGGCCGGTAGAGATCCCGCACCCCTCGCACTGTGTGACTTTGCAGGTTTCCCTTCTGGCTCTGACACACGAAACACTCCCAAACCACCTCCTCATGCAAGAGGCTCAATCAATCCGTCCTGCCTGCACATCTCGCTCGATTTTGCGCTCCGTAGCAACTTGTCCGGTCTCTCGGCCGTCTTACTTCCCCGCTTCAGTCAGAAAGACACAACTCGCGGATTCGCTTTCGTTCTCCCTCCATCTGCATCTACCAACATGTCACCTTCCTGTTGACCATTTGTGTTGGTCCTTGGCGAAAATAGAAACGTGCGCCAGCCACAAGTTCGGCCTTCAGCTCGGTGTCTTACCATCTGCGGTTGGTGCCTAGGCGCACCAGGCTATTGCATATTATAGAACTCGCTATCTATGGGACCTATGTCGCACACGAAGTATTATAGGCCAAAGCGCATGGGATTGCGGTTCTTGCCTTTCAGAACCAATTTCCCCACCAGGAATTTTTGCTTTGCCACGCTCGGTCCCCAATATTCTTAATCGCTACCCAACATCCCTTGTGTCGGTGACGTTGACCAACGTCGATCCGAGCGGCGGCACCAGCATGGCCTCGGCCTCCTCTCGTCACATCGTCGCAACGGCCAGATAACATGTCATCATCACTTGGAAAGATCGCCAGGTAGTAGTTTCAAAATTCGGTGGCCGTGATCTAGACCAATTCTGAAGACACCATTTGCAGGGCTCTCGGTCAGCTCACGTGGCCCACCCGATCCTGGAAGACCCTTACCGATGAGCGTCGAGCATGGATGCGATCCTGAGATCCTGGGTTTGGTGTGGTGTCAGCCTGCATCTACGAATGTACGACTCCATCTTGTTCCCTTAGTGAGATGTGTCTGCCACATGGTATACCAACGCCAATAGTCCACAAATCAGCTGTGCCCCGTCCGCACATGCCTGAGTTGCATAGTAAGCCTCACTGATCCGGATAGACAAGTGAAGCTTTGGTCCCGTACGCTTAGGGTTTATTTGAACTTGTCTTGTGCACCAATACCCCTGGCGTCTGTTGTGTGATCGGCTGGAGCGTGGATCAAAACCGTCATCACCCATGATGAGCGCTCAATAAGCGGCATATACTTCACAGGTTCGAACCAAAACCTGCATTAAATCTGTTTTGCAAACAACTTTGGTTTTGTCCCAGACGTCAGCCATGGCCTACACCGTTTGATGCGCACTCTAGCCAATGTCGTGCTTTGGTGCTCCTCTTACCAACCTTCTCCCGATCGAGAAACATAGAGTTGCTGAACCTAGGCTGTATGAGAAGAACATGCTCAACTGGGGGGTCAGACATTCGAATGTGGTGTGGATATGTGTTGAAACCCCTCGCCGCCATTCTGAGTTGAACTCTCACTCTGCGCCGAGGGTCTCTTCAGCCCATGCGACGCTGTCCTTCTCCGACTTGGCTGATTTACGAATACGGACGTTGAAATACACCTGCTAGCCAGAATGCGGGAAGCTCTTCGGTTATCCTAACCCATGTGGAAGGGAATGACGATTGCGGGGCCTGAGCAGATCCTTGTTACGGCTTGTGCTACGCAAGGGGATGGGAGGAGGCGTGCTCGGTAGTGATGGGTGCTTGATTTGATGATTTCTGTCCTGTGGCTTTGGCGAACTACATTTCGCAGCTGTATTTGAACAGGCCCTCGGATGCCTGACAATACCTGGGCACTGCTCTCCTTGGACAGAGACAAAGCCATCAGCTAATGCAGACTTCCGGTGAAGCTGCGGCTTGACCCATGCGCCACTTGCGATCCCTAGAAATGAGCTTTAGACCGTCTTCTACAATCTCGTGTGTTGTGAACAAAGACCTTGCTATGGCAGGGGGTTGATGTGATAGAGGGAGAGCCGAGCTCTATACAAGTTGGCTATCCGTGTGGACCTCATCTTGACCTTACTAATGCTGGGCTAGGAAAGAAAATGCTCAATCAAAATATTTGTTCAACTCCTCATTTCTGCGAAGGATTGAGCGGCACTTGACATGCCTCTGTTAGTCGACAAGGCAATTTGCCTATTCCGATATCGCAGGGTGCGAAGCAAGGGAAGCCCTCTGATTGGCAATCTCGAAGGTCATTAAACCAACTGCAAGTTTGATCGCTCTCGTTAATTTACTTGTGCCAATGGGGGGGAGGGGTCACCGTTGATATTCTGTCCTGTTAGGGGTCTTGATCTCACGTTACACAAACGGCATTCGTGACTACTGAACGTTCAGTTGGCTCTTCATCAAGTCTACGCCCGGGACTCTTAGGAGGCTGCTCAATGCAACCTCGATATGGAGCGTCATAACGCATCGGAGAAGACGCGGGAGGCTAATAGGTTCTTGTCGGCTCTTCGTTCTACCAGCTCGGCCGATGCAATCGTGGGGTGAATTGTTCGCCCGAGACAACCATTGACAGCTGGGTGGACCCGAATTAAACAGACCATGTTCCGAGACTTGGCCGCATGTGGCTCGTCTGTGGACGGTCCGAGTTGTAAACTCATTGCCCTTTTGGACTTGGAACTGAAGTTTTGTCGGACCACACCCTCGGGTCAATAACTAACTTGTTATTTCTTGAGACACTCGACGAGGCTATCGATATGGATCTGTCCCAGACATTGGTCGAGCTCTTCTCAAAGTGACCACTTTCCTGCTCCCTCTCTCATTGGACTATGCGACCTTTTACTCCAACGACCTCCCCTTTCTCCCCTTTCGTAGTCCCTCGTTCACCCGCAGTGCCCTGGTGTGCAGGTGTCACAGCAGATATGGTCGCAGCGGAACTCAAACCCGCCCTCGCGCATCACACAGCTACATCGCCCCAGGTCATTGCAGGCAAATCCGCACCAGCAGCAGTTCCAACAGCGATTCAAAGTTTCGTATGGGCACTCGGGCAGCGCACATGGCGGGAGGATCCAGTTCTCTGGCGGAGGATATGGGATCCAGATCTGCTCGCACCGGCAGCAAGCGACCGTTCCATCCCTAGGAGCGTCCTCGCAGTATCGTGTGCTCGTATAGAGGTGTTCGCAGGGTAGTTGGCAGGTGAGTCGACGGCACATGTCTTCTTTCCCTTTTTTTTTCTTTTTCTTTTTTCAATAAAAGGTAAATTTGCGTATTTTTCTTTCTTGAGAGGTGAGAGACGCTTCGGAATCACCGGGCGGTTCCTCGAGGTTGTCCTTAGTTGAGGTCGAGATGACGGCTTCGTTGTGGCTGAGTCATAGGCGATGGAAACTTCGTGGTGATGGTTTGACGAAGCACACTGATGGCGCCGAATTAAGTAGAGTAAATTCGTCGGTGATTCAACCGCCTCATGGCCTTGAAAACGGTGAAAAGATAGACCAAGAGCAGGACTGCCTCTTGCAGGCCGGGCCAAACATTGGCGGCCGCTTGTCGAAGCCGTATTTTTCGCGCCAGAGCCTGCTCAAGGAGACGAGGCCAATCAGTATGCCGCGCGAGAGGCTACGTAGCCTCTCATATAAGCACCAAGACTCAAGGTAGCATCGTCTATTTAACCCGTCACTGCCGCACCTCTCTATACACGCTAGCATCGGTCGGAAAGGCCGAGACGCTGACGATCGAGCAGCCTAGGCCACTTTGATGCCCTGTACTCCGATGTATCAATCAATTATCTGGGTGTCGGTGCAGACTGGTCTGACATCATTGCGTTGCGTTGGCTAGACTCCTTGACATGTTGCCCTAGAAGCCAGGCAGCAGCCTGATATCTTATCCAATGGGTGGAAACACCTTGTCCAATGGCAAAGGCGTGATATGACTAGAAACATGACGGGGGAAATTCAGCTCCGACTGATGTCAGATCATAGAATGATATGTCTATTCTAGACTATCAGGCATGATGTTGCCCTCAGTAGTTAGACCTCCACACGAGCCCTCACGAGTATCGTCCTTTCATCCAGCCTCCCATAGAATAACACTTCGTATAAATCTCAGTATCCGCTTGTTCCAATCGCCATTTTGCCCACCCAGAACTAAAAACCCAAACCAGTTGTCCCCCCTCTAAACCCCCCCTTCCCCCAACCTCACCACCCAGAAGCAATGGCGAACAGAAACCCTCAAGACATGAAAGCCCTAGTGCACCCCTGACACACCCGATGGTAGCAAAACGTATCCGGGCTGCCCCTCTTGGGCTGCAGGCAGTACACGTGCGTGTTCCCGCTCCGCCTGCAGCGGCAGCACACCCAGGCGCCGGCGAGGTCCTCGAGGCGGCAGAGGCCCGAGGAGCACTCGGGGGAGACGATGAGGCAACCCGGCGGCCAGGAGGAAGGGGAGGCGGGGATGTGGATGACGTTGGGGCAGGTGGCGACGATGCGCAGGGTGGCCGGGTCGCGGACGGCGTAGGGGCAGTAGGTGTAGCTTATCGAGTGGGAGGGGGCGCGGGTGCAGGGGGCTATGTGGTGGTAGAGGACGGGCTGGCCGGTGCACATTTTCGAACGGAGGGGAATGGTTTGGTTGCTTCGAAGTCTTTTGGGTTGGGTTGAGGTTGAGAGACGGTTGGCTGGCTGTTGGGAAAGGGGGTGTTAGTGTGTTGCTTTGAGATGAGAGTCAAGGCGTTATAGGTACCTGGTGAGGAGAGATTGGATTGGTAGAGCAAGTGTGGCCTTGATGATTCAATCGTCGACCGTGGGATAAGTCTGTTGGTGATTGTTGAGGTTGAGTTGACTGAGAGAAGCCTCGATACCAGGAGAAGGGCGAGAGTAACGGTCAAGTATGAAGTAAAGTCAAGATCAAGAGGCGATTGCTATTATTTTATGCTGGCTTGGCTCTTACTCTACTCTATTTTCCCGTCGACTGCTTTTCATCTGCTGAACGCTTATCCTTGATTAGGTGACTTGTCTGGCAAACAAAGATGTAGGTAACCGTCATGCGTTGGCATCTGTTTCGGCGTTGAGCCCGTTCCGGGTGTGTGCAGATTGGCTTGGCGTGGGAGTGGGAGCCAAGAACTTTCACTCTGCTTCTAAGTAACAGCTGCTAGATGATTGTTGACTGGAAGGCCTTTTGAGTTTCGATGTTATGCTCTGAGTTGAATTAACATGTAGATAGGCTCAGCAGCGGCGGGCGGCCGGAAGGCTGCAGGTACTTATAACATGCCCGCTTCCAAGGCAATTTAATCTCAAGCCTACATTATTTGTAACTCGGAGATTGATTGTCATCTCGGGCCCGTGAATTTCAAGCTTGGATGGAAAGAACCCTAAGGAGGCTTCCAGAACAAGCCTGCGTGGGCCACATTAACCACCCAGGAGGATAGTAAAGTAACCACGGGTGTACCATGAAGTCTACCCGGAAGGACCATGGTTTCCACAAGAGAGATAATGGCCCTCGTGTCATCGTTTGACAACCGGCGGCAGCTTGGAAGAGCGCACCCGTGAGCAACATATATTGCCAACATATTGTTGGTTTGAGTCTAGCTCGATGGCCCGGCATAGCGGGCGGCCGCGCTGAGATGCAATCTGGTGGCTGTATTTGTATCACGGCCCTGCGCTGAGAAACGTGCGCAATGGGTCGCTGCAGATTCATTTAACCGGGCTCTCCTCCATACGCGTGGCGCAAGTGGCATCAATACCACGCGGAAGCTGAACCGGTCCCCGGCTTGTTCAAAATTCTCAAGCCTGTTCGAGAACCTTGGGGCGGCCAAACAGCGCAAGCATTGTGTCCAGAATGAACCCCATTTAAGAAGCTCGTGGAACAGGATGAAGACTCGATCGAGAGGTAGTGAGGCCCATTCGATGCGGTACTGTAGAGGGGTCATCTTTGAAAGTAGGATGGGTTCCTTGTGGGACAACGGACAAGACCACTTTTATGCGTGGTTGAGACGAACGTTGTGACACCCTGGAGGGCAAGCCGTTCCAGAAACCTACAGGAAGCGCGAAGCCGGCATCCCGTGACACGCTGGTGCTGTTGTGTTTACTTCCTCTTTGTCTAGGTGGAACATCGTTGCTCGTGACTCATGCTGGATCATTTGGAATATTCCTGTAAAGAAGCGTAAAAGTAACGCGTGTCTCGGAAAAGGCAACTGCCGGAGGGAGCTCCTCTGTGAGCAGAATCCAAGGATGGGCCCGTTGAGAGTCTCGTGGTCTCATGGGGGTGGTACAGGAACGTGGGTGTATATCTACCCAACCGTTTGACCTCGTTGGCGGTTACAAGGGGGAAAATTGGCCGAGACAAATATGACGATGCACTCAGGCGAGAGAGTATCGGCCTTGAATTGGCTTGATTATTGTTATGTCGCCATTGTGTCGTTGGGAACAGCGGCCGCCTACGGCCTACACCGAGTTAAACAGTCAGGGGTGGACTAGAAATAGATACACCTTGCGACGGTGAGCGCGACTGAGTCCATCGTACAGCCGAACGAGGCACCGAGCAGCTGCGGCCTCGGCAAATTGGCAAGCAATCGTCTCACCCAACTCGTCCAACGAGCCCATTGGCTGTAGGAGCGGGCACGCCGGCACAACGATTACGCTATTGGCGACTCAGGGGATATGGGCTGCAAACCTTCGAAAAGGCCCAGCTATATACGACCAGATGGGGTCGGGAATGAGACTATACACCCCTTTTGTCATACCTGTAGGCCGATGGCATGTGAGGTCGGCGACGGTCGGCGGATCGTAAACCAAGTTCAGGTTCATTCCGAATATTGAACCACGCCCTGGGCTGAACAGGACTGGAGACGATGAGGATGCCTATCCATTAGTTGGTGACCCTCCACGGAAGTGGCGCAAGGGAACTTATGGTACCTACCTCAAGGCGACTCTCTTGTAACAACGACGTACCTTTAGGTCCTATGTTCAGTGGGAATAATACACGAACACCCTGCTTTGAGGAGCACGACCTTTGTGGCTGGGGGCTTGATAATACAGCAGTGCGAAGCCGTAAATGGGCGCAGCGAGTTTCTCGGTCAAAACATGAATCACACGAACTTTTGGGAATAAATAACCAGAATTTTTATTGTCGACGCCGAAGATGCAATTCAAGTCGCCATCCCAGGATATCCATAAACGCCATACATGCTCTACTAACTGCCACACAACAAGAATTGTCTCAGAACCTGTTTGACAGTCATTGTTAGCACACTGATCCCAGGGCTCGGGCACACGAAGAAGAGTTCCACCGAGAGGAAGAAAGGAGGACTGGGGACGGGTTTCTTACCTTATTTCGTACGACCCTGCCCTTGTCATGTACCGCACCCACTTGACACTGGAGTAGTTGCTCTTCTCGAACACTTTCAGATACCGGACCAGGAGGCCGGAGCTGGTGAACATGAGCAGGCTGAAGTTGAGGTTGAGGGGGGGCCTGCTCCAGGCGCGCTGGTTGGTCATGCTCGTGAGGATGGCCTCGGCGCTGAGCACGAACTCGCTCTGGCCGGTGAAACGGGAAATCTTCCAGACGATGCAGTTCTCCGAGGGCTCGTACTTGGCCTTGCCCTGGGTGCACCGCTCCGTGATCTTGGCGGTGTTGAGCGGCGTAGGGATGCGGATGACGACGTTGGTGGCAAACAGCTTGGGGCCAAAGTTGGCCTTGACGCCGATGCTGTACTCGACCTTGGACTTGCCGACCTCGTTGACGATGGCGTGGACCTTGAAGGGGAGGTTGACGTTCTCGGTGGCACGGTAGCGCATGAGCTCGAACTCGCCGTCCGGTGGCACGAAGCTGATGATGCGGTCGCTGTCGAACTTGCCAAGCTTGACGCACTGGTGGAACTGGCAGTCCTCGAGGGTCACGCTGCCTGCGGCTGCCTTTGTAGCCTTTGTGCCCATGCGATTCCCACTAGGGAGGCTGTGCAGGCCGTCGTTGTCGAGCAGTAGGCGGTCGTTGAGGCCGAACTTGCACTCGGGTGTGCCGGACAGATAGGCGCGCATGATGATCTGGCCGTTGACGTCCGCGCGCAGGATGGCACCGGTGGCTGACATGAGGAGGTTGACATCTTCTATCACATCGACGAAAGCTTCGTTCTTGCGGTATTTGACGTCGGCCTTGCGCCATGATAGGGCGCCGGTGGCCTGCATGGTGATCTTGGACGTGTTCTCGGAGCGCGACTCGTTTCTGACACCCTCGGTGGTGATGTACATCTTTAGCGTATCGGTCTCGGTGTTCTGGGGGTATCCGAAATCGATGATTTCTACATAGTGGTGCGATTCTGTTAGCTGTGACAATCATCTTTGAGGAATACTGGGTTTGTCAGCTGGGGGAACATACCATCCAGCAGCTCATACACCAGGACGAAGTTGTTTTTCACAGCTTCTTCGTCAAACTTGCCAAAGTACCCCCGGCCTAGCTGTATCAGACGGTAGAGAAACTCGAAGACGAGGGCGGCATTGGCATTGCTCTTGGTGATGGCGACCAGGTAGATGTTCTCGTGCTTGACATGGCTGAAGGTGGTGCTACCAAGCGTCAAGATGGGCGACCGGACCTGGGAGTTGGAGATGACTTGGATGCGGAAGACATCGGCGAGGCGAGGACGGCAGTCGTTTCGGAAGGCACGGAAGATGAGGTTCTCGCCCTTTTGGTTGAATATGAGGACACCGGAGATCATGGCGGTAGGCTGTGTGGTGATGCGCACCACGGGCACAGGTGGAGAGGTATGTGGCCAGCTGGTGCGCGGCGATTGGGCAGGAACAGTCGGATACGAGGGCAGCGGTTTCGGTCTACGAGGGAGCGGCGCAGACGAGATGGAATATAGGACGATGAAGAGATATGTTGCGTTGGGGGTCGACAGAGCTGCTGTAGCTTCACCCCTTTTGGATGGATGGGCGAATTGGTCGAGGATCAATTGGTGGTGGGGGAGCTGGGCGGGAATTCTGCCGCTACTAAGGCTGCCAGTCCACAAGACAAGGTTGCTGTTTTGGTATTTGGAGCTTCAACACGGGGTAAGTACACCTTTAAAACTCGCTATCTAATGAAAATTGATCAAGACTACCTGTATCTTCACCTTAAGCAGGTAGTCATCGCTATTGAACAGCTCGCATGATATCGCGGAGCTTGTGCTTCCTCTTGCGGCTGGGCTGAGACCCGGCCACGAACCAACGAACTGCTGCAGGTCGGGCAGGCGGTGAGGCGTGACAGTGCACGGTTCGGGAATATTATTCAGCGCCCGGGGCTAACGGCTTGGGGAATTCTCATCCCATCTTCACTCAACCGTCTTCATAGTGAGTATCGTTGAGCTGTGAGTGAATGCCGTGACCTCAATTTTGCTGTAGGGGGGCTTCACTTGAGGATCATGTTTGTTACGTGTCCGGAGACGGTCAGCGTGCCCTCTATCCAATGGGGGAGACCATGCTTCGTGACTGCCAATGTTTTGAAGCCTGGGGATGATGGTGTTGATTTGGTTTGGGACTGTAGCAACGACGCCTCAAAAACCGCCCGTGAATCCCACTGTCATCACAACACAATGTTGTTGTTGTTAACACACACGCCGGTGCAATGAAATGGCAATTGTTTCATCCGTTATATGCTGATATGGGCGCCAATGAGATTAGGGGTGATTAGCGCTGGCTGGCCGCTGTGGGCCCCTGTCAAGTCACGCCCCAGCAGTCTGAGCACAGCCCGGGCTGAGAGCTAGTGGAGATCCAGTTAGGAGGCGGCATGTACGGAGTATATGTAATTTGTCTTATGCAAGTAATTAATCAATCGCGTCTCGTCACCACTTTCGCTTCATCGATCAAATAGATCACATTACACCAGCTTAGCTCCTGGGCAGGTTTGTGCCGTCCGCGCGTTCTCTCGTGGCATTTACGTCGCTCTCTCTTTCCCATCCCTCGCCGATGATGAGCTTGCGATAGCATCACGGAACCGCCTGTGTCGCCGCTTACCCTGCATCCACATCCGTCGCTCTCATCATGACGGGCATCGCATCAGAGTTCCCCGCGTCATTCGTGGGCCCCTGGACTGAACTACTGCAATCGCACAAGAAGGACCAGGATCACGACTTTCCCAATTACTATGTGGACCGCCCTGAGTCGCTCATCACTTCCAGTGTGCCCAAGGCTCTCTATGTCGGCACCGGCTTGACCATCTTTACCCGCGCGCTGTTGCCAGCCATCCTCAACGCCAAGCACTCTGTCAACTTTGTGACTTGCTACTGGGCGGATTCGCCTACCCTCAACTCCTTCCGGGAGACCCTCATCAAGCTCGCCTCTGCGAGGGCTGAGAATCCGAGTGAAGTCCCCCTCAAGGTGGCGATTGGCTTCTCATCGTCCGGCCTTTTTCAGAAGCTGTTGCATACCTCCTCTCGCGGTGGCCATGTGTACCCTCCTAGCAAGTGGCCTAGCCTGGGCCTCCCCAACGAGGAGCTCTTGAGGGCCGGCAACATCGAGCTGTCCGTCAAGAGCCTGTTCTTTACTCCCTTCAGCGTCATGCATCCGAAGTATCTCATTGTGGACGGAGCCAAAGCCTGGGTCCCTAGCTGCAACGTGAGCTGGGAGAGGTGGTTTGAGGGCTGCGTTGAACTAGAGGGAGATGTTGTGATTCAGCTCGCAGCTTTCCAAGACGGCGTCTGGGGCTCATTCGCCTTTCCCGAGTCTCGGGAAGAAGACAGCGCTAGGAATACATTGCATGCCACGAACCGGTCATCCAAGAGGGCGTCGATGCTCATCGGCGGAGTGGAGAATTCTGCTACACAGTCCCTCAAGTTCCCGGAAATGCCACCAGTCCCTACGATCTTCCTACCTTCGTCGCATCACCGGAATCCACGTTTCAGCGTCTTCCCCATCCTTTCACAGTCCAGACCACCCATCACGCCTCTCAACGCTGCCCTTCTTACCTTGTTCAACAACGCCCAGCGAAGCATCAACATTGTGACGCCTAATGTGACGGCGTGGCCCTTTATGGAGGCTCTGCTGGCTGCTCTCCAGAGGGGCGTAGACGTGCAAATTCGCACCAGCAAGAACATGATGAACATTGAGCAGATCATCACTGCCGAGACTACAACTGCCAGGTGTCTGGATCGCTTCATCAAGGAGTACAAAGCTCTCAGCCAGCGCCAGGGAGACCTGGAAGCCCAGGATGAAGAGGTTGGTCGGCTGGAAATCCTCTATTACCAGCCCCTACAAAGTAGGGCGGGCGAGGAGGACGAGCCTGTGCTCAGCCACTTCAAGATGACGATGGTCGATGAAGAGTACCTGGTTCTCGGCTCTGGCAACCAGGACAGAGCGAGTTGGTGGACAAGTCAGGAGATTGGAATATTGTTTTACGTCTCATGCTTTGAATGGCGTCGCTTATGGGAGGGCGTCCTCGAGAAACGTGCCGAAACTCTGTTTGATTCCCTCGCGCCGGAGCCACAGCCTGAATGAGGGCTGACCAGCTCAACGTCGATCTTTCCGTTTTGTTTATTGTTTGATATACCACTGATATCCCTCCCACCTAGCACGGGTAATTTTCTAGCGATTTAGCAGCAATTATTCAATTAATTTTTGGTTATTCAGATCATTGTTTTCTCCCAGTCGCGCTTTTTTTCTTGTATCATTGGTATAACTAACGAACTACAACACCCCGCCTGTCTAGAATGCCGGACCGCAGCTTACAGCCGAGCAAGACTAAAAAAGTGTGTCGACCGGCACAGCCAAATACATCCAATCATCACATTGTCCAGGAAAGTCGAAATATACGCCATGAGAAAATTGCCTTGCCCTAGCCTGAAGAAGGATGCCAACGCAGTCGCTTCACTCACCTACCTGCGCCCACGTATTTGGGATAGCGAAGGAGTAGGCACACTGGAAGTCTGTAGAACGCGAAAAACAAATTGGGGGTACCAGCACCGTGTGTGTGCCTCGTCATCCAATTGCAGCTGGTGGGCTTAGGCGAGCTGACCGCCCTGCTGAGGCTTGGAGCTCAGCATTGGTTGGGCAATGCGCAGCTTGCTGCAGTTATGACGCAGCTGAGAGCCCGGAGACCAAAAGTGCAGAATGGCGACCCCGCCTTGCATTCGTCCACGGGCTACTTGGGCGCTCCTTTGAGTTCTTTCTGGAAGTCCTATAAGCCGTCCCGCGGTTTGAGAAGGCTGGAAAGACGAAGCGAAGACCAAAGTCGAACTGCCTCTGGCCTCGAAAGATGTCCGGGCTCGAGGTTCTTGGAGCTGTGGCGGCTGCAGTTCAACTGACGCAATTGACGGCCAAGACGGTCGGCTTCGTGCGGAAAATTTCAGAGATCGGGTCCCAATATTCTGACCTGTGTGATGAGGTATGTTTGCTAGATGGGTCTAGTTGGTCTCTTGCACATAAACTTACATGGGAGCGCAGATTAATTTCATCAAAGACATCTGTGATGAGGTGCAGAAACACTCAAGCACTGGTAATATCACAGCTGGATTTCTAGTACAGAAGAAGGAGCTGCTGGAGAGTACTAAGACGACGCTTGAGGAAATATCGAAACAGTTAGAGATCATAAAAGAAAAGTCGGAGCGCTTCACGAAGCAGGGCGAGCCTAAGGCTAGCAAGACGAAATGGATCATCAGGGAAGGGAAAATCGCCACGCTGCTCGAGAAGGCCCAGAAAGCTAAGACGAACCTCAGTATCTCCATGAACATTCAATCAGCCATTGAGATCGGGGAAGCGAATAAGACGATGCAAGCAATGAGCCTCCAGATACATGAAATCTATAAGCTCATGGCAGAGAGAATGCTGACGCAGGAATGCGCCGTGATCTTCGCCCGAGACAAGTCTCTTATTCAGCAAGTCGATGATGTGACTTCGATGGGGATCCGAGAGTTTGAGGTTGATGATCAATATCCGGGCAGTGATCGAATGGACCCACAGGTGGAAGAACCTTTGACTGTCGCCGTCACGGATCAGACGATTGAAAGAACGACCGCATGGATGGCTTTGCAGAAGAAGTGCTCTTACGAATGCCGGTGCCGATGCCACGCTAACCTTTGTCAGTTATCGATCGGACCGCTACGGTTGAGCTTCAGACCACCCACGGCCATGAGCAAGTGGGAACGGGACTGTGGCTGCAACAAGTCTGAAGTGTTGTCCGTGGGATGGAGGCTTCCTGGCCAGCGATATGCTGATGTCCTCGCCTGTGGCCAAACATACTCACTCTACGCTCTTCGCCCTGCGAGGACGATTCCGTGGGCCCAAGTGGAATGGAGATATCCGGATCTGCCAGTGTATTACTTTCGAAGAGCCTTGCAACAGGGAATGATCTTGTATCCAGATGACCAAGACGAGACGGGGCTTATGTTTGTTGAAGTGAGTACTGTCTTGTAATTTTATCGCCATCTGGTATTGAGGCTCACCTGAACAGCACCTCATCAACTACGGAGCCTTTGAGATACTCGAGGTGCTTCTAACTGTATGGGGAACAATTTTGCCCAAACAACGCTTCTCAAGGTGTGTAGAATTCTCTTCATCCTATGTGATTAGGCTGCCTCCTCAGATGTGCTAAATGGGGCAATTTGACCAGACGCATTGGATGTCGAGCTAGACGTTCAATGAGACACAGAAATTGTGACGAGAGCCGAGGCAGACTGCTGAAACAAGTCATGAATTATGCGGAGGATGAACTAGAGCCGGAGATGACGCCGCTCCACGAGGCAGCGAGGCAGGGATGGGGCATGGAAGAGGCTGTCGGGGCATTGAAATTGCATTCATACACGACAGATGCTATCGATGCGCGGGATGAGACAGGCTATCCGGCACTACATGTGGCTGTGATGAAGGGACATCACAGATGCGCACAGGTGTTGATTGAGGCTGGTGCTGATGTCAATCGGCAAGCTACCGATGGATACACGCCACTGATGGTGGCAGCGTCATATCACCAAATCGGAATAATGCGGTTGCTTCTGTCGCGAGGGGACTCTCGCAACAGAATTGACAGAAGAGAGCGACGCTATGCGAATGGAAAGAATCGGAATGGTCGAACTGCGTTGCATGTTGCTGCCGTTTCCTGCAATCCCAAAGCTGTACAGCTGCTCCTAGACGAGGGAGCGTCCGCCTCTGAGCGCGACTCTTATGGCTACACCCCCTTGCATTACGTGGCTTTGCAAGTCGGTAGTGATAGTATTGGAATAAGCCAAGTCGGCCGCATTTTCGAATTACTGCTCGGTACAGGAGGAGCAGATATCAATGCAACAGATTTCTATGGACAGCCCCCATTGATGCTCGCGGTGGCTCGAAACCGGCTCGCTGTAACCCAACACCTCATCAATGCAGGTGCCTCGCACACAAGCGTTACGACAAAATCAGAGAATATATTGCATCACGCCGCATTTTATAGCAATCTAGATATGTTGCAGCTTCTCCACCACCTGGAGTTATCTAAAATTAGTGTTCGGCTCCACGACATAGGTGGTGATAATCCATGGGACGTTTTCAAACGGCGTCTTCATCTACCCCCGGAGCACGAGCTTCACGGCCGCATACCAACTAAAGAAGAAGGCGATGCTTTTGTAAATCTGTACAGAGGTATTCGGGAAAGGAACAATGAGGATGACTGTTCCCTCCTGACGCAGGCACTCGATTGTCTATTATCAGCTAACCCAGCTGCTTCATGTCGTCATCTGTCAATGCTGATCGAGAACAAGAAAGCCTGTGGTGAGCTGGAGCCTGCTGGATACTATTCAGGCATAAAGGGAAGTATTAATGCTGGTGACCACGAGGCCGCAATCAAGTGGATTGAGGACGATCTCCGCGAACTCCGCCACGAGTTAGCTACAGACCCATGGGATCAGACCTCGCGTTGGGATTCACCAGGGCCTCTTGTTTTTAGATAGCCTGTTGTCAATTAAACACTAAAGCAGCGATTCCATCTACAGCGAAGGATGCGACGAGAGCTGGGTAGGATCGAGGATCAACATAAAGTACATTTAAAGAACATACTAAGGAACTGCCAGTCCTATCAAATCTTTATCAATGATGACAAACCTATAGTATCAATACAAGCGTGACTTCCAAGAATAATGTTGCCCCGAATTCAACAATAGCTTTCATTTGAGCCGTGAATGGAGGGAATGCAAGAAGATGTCGAGTAGTAAGAGTGAAAGCAGAAACTAGATAGATCCGGACGAAAGAAATACATGTTTTCTTTCAAAAGCCACCTTTTTCTACCTTAATTTCAAAACAAACCCTTCATTTCAGAACGCTATAATAACACACGTAGTAAAGATACAAACCATCCCTTACTTTTTGGTTTTCCCCAATGAAAGGATCATCAGTTCAGTGTTCTTAAAGCGATAATCATTCAGGCTTGGCTTTCTTGACAATTGCCGCTAGCCTGTCCCGCAGCCCCTCAGCATCGAGGCGGTCATCAACTTCTACTCGAAGGAGGTGAGCATCGATCAAATCAAGAAGGTCCCCTAGAGGACTATTTTCGCCGCACTGGGGGTTACTCTTCAATGATTTAATCCTCTCATTTACCTTCGGTTGAACCTCCATCTGGCCGTTGGAATCGCGATAGAAATGAGCGAAAGTATTGGCAGAAGCCTTGTGTTTCCTTTCTTCGTAGAAATCCAGGATGCTATTCCAGTCCTGGATGAGCCAGACTGCGAATTCCAGGTAGATACAACCCAGTGACCAGATATCATATTTGCGCGATCTTGCCCTCTTTTCTTTCGACACAGCCTCCGGCGCCTCAAAGGATGGCGATTTGGCCCTGGTATGAGTATCAAAAGTATCGACGTTATGAATTTTCGATATGCCAAAACCGGCAATCTTCAAGATACCTCTCCCCTCCCCTGTGAGGAAGTGTAGGATATTTCCGGGGTTTAAATTGTCATGGCGCAAGTTGACCTCATGGTGCAGGGCTTGTAGACCTTCGGCGAGACCAAGCATTTGTTCCAAGGACCAGATAAGCAATTCGGGCGACCGCTTGTAGGCGTCCTTCTCCTTCCAGAAGTTGTCTAGGTCTCCGCCATCAGCCCATGGAAATATCATAAAGTTCCTGCTGCCCTGGGAGAAAGACCCAAAGGTTTTCGTGATGTGCTTATTATTGACCAGTCCTCGAATCCTGCCGAGGTTCTCGCGCTCGTTGTTAAAATAGTTGCCAGTTCCAAACTCTTTCAGGGCAACCGAAAGACTGGGCGCGTCATCCTATTGATATTAGAGTCAAGAAGTAGAAGAACATGAGACTTGAGAGGGGGACTATACTTCAAATCCAATCTGGTGCGCCTTGTGGATATCTGCCTTGAAGATGACATTGGTATTGGTGTGTTCTTTCTCGTCCAGATTGTCAAAGGGCAAACAGACATTCGTGTCAAACTCGCGATGCTCGCCATTGTTTGTGAAGACTGGCGCTATCATGACCCACTGTTTTTCGATAAAGGTATCTATGTTCTGCTCAGTCCAGTCTTTGGGTGTCCTGAACAGCTTCTCCTTTTCAGAAGAAGATTGTAGAGTGGTATCATTTAGTTTGATTAGTGGAAGGTCTTTGTCTGTAAAGCCTGCTTTAAGCAGCCCCTTGATGTCTAGGGCATTGTCGAAGAATAAAAGGGTCAGAAATATTTTGCTCGACTGCTGCTCAGTCTGAACGGCCAACTTTGAAACTCCCAGTGGTATCTTCTTTTTGCGTTTTAGTTCGGAGCCGATATTCTCCCTCTTGGTGAGTTTGCGTATCGAATCCACCGGAAGATATCTGCGGTGGTTGATTTCATCTAAGGCATATGCTTCCTGGCATTGGGAATACAGTGTGGGAGGAGGAAAGGCCTTTACCGTCCCAGGCAGGTTTCCTAGTCCTCTCGGCACAGAAGGTAGGTCCTGACTGACACCGCCACCATGTTGAACTCGGGTGAAATCTTGTAGCACAGCATCATTTCCCAACCCTATTGTGTTGTCTCTACCCTTCTCGCTTTCGTACCATTCGATAAATCCAACATCGTGCCAGTGCGTATTCTGAGTTTCATGTACGCCCGGAGACGGCCTCTCTTCTGGGTGTGGGTTTTCATAATCGGAGAGACGTAATGCACGGAGCTCTTCATCATATCCGCTCGGGTAGGATGCTTCCTCACCTTCTTGCAGCCGCCGATTTTTCTCTTCGTCTTCGGCCTCGTCGGACTCACTCTTGGGTGTCTCTGTGGTGGTTAGTATCGGGATAGACAAAACGGCAAGATCCTTGATATGGCTAGCGATATGTTTGTGAAGCTGGTCTCGGATAGCGTTCGGTTCACTGGTCGGAATGACAGGCTTGAGCGCGTCTGGAATGCAGTCGCAGAAGGGGCATGAATACTTATCCTCACGGACGAGAGTCTTTTGCTTATTCCTGGAAAGGGTATCAAGTTGTAGGTCGCTAGGCGGTGGTCGGCCTGGATGGCTTGCTGGGTCTCTCATGTGCTCCCTGAAGCTCTCAAGATCGTTAAACTGCTTATCTTCATGATTCGTATCGCAGAACCAGGTGCTCATATGTATCATTCTGGTCCACTGCTCCGAATGCACAGAGTTCATATGATTGACCCATTCCTTCATATTAACAAAAAAAAGTAATGGTGATGTGCATTCTTCCGAAAGGCAGACATAGGGCTGCACGTCATCGTCTAAGTGTTTACTAGAGACTTGTCAGAAACTGCTCTATGTAGGGGGGAAATACCACCTCTTACTCCCAAAATCTGGGGTCATTGGCTAATTTTGCGGTGCTCAACCGCCGTGCGCAATATGGACAGGCACAGTCCGTGGCATCAGGCAGGGGATGAGGCTTGGGCGGATACTTGCGGCCAGAAAGGCACACAGACGACCCCATGCTGACAGTTGAAAGGGGCGGCCTTTCTTTTAATCTACGGCGAGCCATTCCAGGGTCTAGATTGCTTCTCGTGCCGATGGAACTGGGGGGAATAACACGAGGCTCGACTTGGCGCGGCAGGCTGGGTTGGGGCCGAGATGGCTGCGACTGGGCAACAGGGGTTGCTTGTTCTGGACTGGTGTTGACTTGATCTGGTGTTTGCCTGGTCTTGAGTTTTTCCTCGTGCTGAATCTTCCAACGTAGACGCTTTCGGCGAAGTGCAATTGATGCGCCAAGTTGCTTGCAAAGAGATCGCCGAGCATGGGGAAATGTATTGCTGAGGATCAGAAACACGTAGTTTTCAAAGTAAGGATCATCATCACTTTCAAATCTCGACGAGAGACTGTAATTCTGACTTCGAACGGACGACCTGCGAATGACACTCGCCATGAAATGCAGCTCTTCAACAGCTTCCTGGATGGACTTGACCGCTTCGTTCTGTAACTCGCTGTTCGTTAGGCTGTTTAAACCCCTTTCGTCTCCCTTGTCCACTGCGTGCAGTCAGTATACAAGTTGTCGCTCGAAATAGCATGAGTCGCTTTGTTCTTGACGTAGACTTACAGTACTCTAAATTCCTCGCGAGCATCTGGAGCAGCTCTACACACATGCCTTTGATGTCTGTGTACCCTTGTAGGCGGACATCGAGGGACCGACTAACATTGGCAGCTAAAGCGCCAGTATAGTCAATCCAGAGGTTGAAACTTCCCTCCATGTCCCCAATGAACTTGACTGTGTCAGTTGGGCGCTTGTCCATGATGTCCTCTGATTTAGCGTAAGTATCAGGCGAGTCCGCTCGCCCTGTAAATCTGGAGAAGAGCTCAAGACAAGTTGTAACAGTCTCATATATTGCCATTTCATTGTCTTCGTCGCTATCTTCATTGTCATCCGAGTTGTTCTCGTCTTCATACTCCGAGCTTAGTACATTGTCGTGTATGAAGATTGGCTCAGCGTAATCTTCGTTATATACGTCCCGGGATATTTCTTGGATTCGAGGCATTTTTTCTTCGAGTCGAACTTCGTCAGCACTTTCCTTTAGGAACGAAGTTGTAGAGCTTACCTTTGTGACAAACCACCTGAAGTAGGTATTCTTTTTGTTTGGTCTACTGACTCGGGTCGTCTCTAGTGCTAACGTAACCTCCGATGCTGCTAGGAACTCTCGAGATTGGCTAAGCCTCTGTTGCTACCAAAGATCCCTTTGTAGACCGTATCATAGGTCGCGAGATTCTACAAAACTTCGGAAAGCACTCTATGTATCGCGGTTTGGAGCCAGGTTGCCAGTTGGAAGCCCCGCAGATCACGTCACATGAAAGAGCAGCTAGCCAGTTAGGTATAGAGTGTAGATTTATGGGGTCAAAAGTCTCATTTGAACTACCTACTTAGTTTAATTCCGTACCTTAAAATAAGAACGTTATTTTAGCTATTTACACATATCTATACCCTCATTCAAAGCTTGACTCTTTATATACTTTTTCAACGCATCACTTTAAGCCCAAATGTCTTATCTTGCAGGAAGCTGAAGATGTCCTTTACGCGGAAGATCCTCGGAAGCTAGCCCTCTCAATGACTACCTCTTACATGTAGGTAAGCTCCTACAGTTTTGAGGATACCTGTCGACATAACCGTGCAAGATGAGCGGGGTCCTCCAAAACCCCGCTCCAGCTGAGTCATATTCCGCAAGGAAAAAATAATCGATGCCTGCCCTTTGGCGATATTTTGTCACAGCAACCAGTGGTTTAGAAGGTTGTCCATAGCGCATTCGCACTTGACTGCCCTAATCGTTCAGGTAATCTGAGGATTAATTCTGATGATCTTCCCGGCAGGGTAATATTCGTCAGAGCCTCGGATACATTCCCACATCTAAGCTAAGAAGTCTAACGAAGGACGGTTTTGGCCACTGTTTGAGCGAAGTTTCGTAGAACCATCAAAAGAGGTGTTATCCCCTGATCATGGAGAGGGAAGTCCGTGGCCGTGTCTTATGGGAACTCTTTGTCACGCTACATCTCGTTTTTATGAAAGCGTTGCCGAAAAAAAATCTCGCGGGAAACAACGATGACCTGTCCACGAAGAACGATATCACCAAGATCCGCTACTATATTCGTGCTATACCCCTTACCCTACGAAATGCCAGCGTGGACGAGGCAAAGCTTGATGACACTAATTTCTCCCGACCGCTCTATTCTTTGCTGGAAGTTCTTGAGACTTTGGTATCAAGTTCCATAAGTGAAGATTATGTGATCCAAAATCCGGATTTCGATGACCCGCAAGAGCAATCCGAGGTACGACTGGTACCTAATAGCTTATGCAAATGACGCTAACTTAATGCCAGTTCAAACAGTTACATACAAATTTTACCAACCTCATGACTATGAGGGGAGTGCTGAGAAGCGTGAACCTCGTCCCAGGACAACCCACTTCACCATCCAAGCGCCAGAAAGACACTGTACTTAAATTAGCTAAATATGTCGAATTTGTCGATCTCAAAGATAAGCGAAAGTACAGCTCATCCGAAATCCTCAAGAGCATAAGTGATTTCCGGTCCGCGGTGGACAAGCTCTTGCAAGACCCTATCGAATCGCTAGTAGAAAACCTAGGGAACGCCAGCCGGCTGACGCAAGATGAGTCGAGCTATATTCGCAAAGCATGTTATTTCAACAATCTATCTAAAAAGCTATTTAGCCTGCTTGTGGGCAGCGTCAAATGTTCCAGGATTCACACAGCCAAGCTGCATCTGTCCGGCTTTCTGACTTCGGACACAAGCTTTGAGATGGTTATTGCCGATTGCAGAGAAGAGCACTGGCACTCCGCTAAGTGTAAATGGTTAGAAAACCTCCCAGTAATTCGTGCCAGTGTCATTGTTTGACAGTACAACAGGACCAATGCTCCCCTTCAAATCAGAGAGCGCTATCAGACTGAGCAAATTGTTTGTGCCCTACAAAGAGACCAGGCAATCCCAAGACATGTGTGTATAGCATCTGACCAGGAAGGCATGTGGGACGTCGAAATCCAGGACGAAGAAATCCAAGAAAACGACTCATGTAATCCAGCTATCTCAGATCAACAACGGACACTCAAGGACATGATACAGCCTAAACGTCAAGACGCCATCCCTGGGACGTTCAAGCTCGAGGCACACGAAATGAAAACCATTCAGCTCCTCATTGCATGCTCACTACTCAATTTGGACACGAGCCATTGGATCCCGTTAGGCTTGGATATTGACAAAATCTCACTGCGTATGGCAAGGGGGTCTTCGAGTCCCTTGCCACGCTGGAAACCACACGTCACCTCCCTTTTACAAACAGCGGATGATGCGGACGATGAAAATGATGTGCTTCTCTCCTTTGGTCTTCTGATCATGGAAATGGAAGCAAATCAAGTAGCAGAACCGACGGAGAAAGACCAAAACTGGGACGGAGGAGGCTTCTCCAAAGACAGCATCCTGAGGCGGATCCTAGAAGAGTGGGCAGGTAAGGTTGAAGATGACTACAGAGATATCGCTACAGCATGCCTCCTATTTAGACAATTATCCGATAATTTCCACGACCAAAAGTTGACGCATGATATGAGGCGGACGGGAGCGATGTACAAGTACATTTTTGCACCACTGTTCCGGCTTGTCGTCCAAAAGTTTCGAAAAACCCAAGAGCTCTTCACTAGCATTCCTAAACCCGCCTACAGTCGCTCATACTTAAGTGATTACACCCCACGACAACCGATATATACTTCTGACATGCTTTTATTCGACGGCTCTGAGGTGGCACAGCCTACCCAACAGTGAGTCTTAGCGTTGTATCGATTTGCAAAAGGAACTTTGTTGATGAGTTTTGAAATTGACAGACAAATTGATCATGCCAGGAGATTCATGAGAGAACTCGAAAGATTTGCCGACAAAATCCGACATGTGACGGAGAGTTCACCTTCCCCTCCGGACTGGTTTCCATGGCGAAAGGACCCGATTCGAATTGCGATACTTGATACTGGCATCGACGTAAAACAAGATATGCTGATGAGGATTGCACTGGAAACGAAGTGCATCCAGGAGTGCTGTGGATTCGTGATCGAGCGCGACTCGAATCCGGATCCCCACGACTTCCAAGACCTCAACGGCCACGGGACACACGTTACTAGGTTGGTATTGAACGCGGCCCCGTCGGCAGTAATTTTCATAGCCAAAATTTCCGATGAGATAACCATTGGGCCTCAGAATATGCACCGCATCGCAAGGGTTCGTATCACTACCCCGTGAAAAGAAGACGATTGCTGACTGGTGGTTGCATAACAGGCCATCAACTGGGCCACCGAGAAAAAAGTCAATATAATTTCGATGTCCTTTGGACTCGATTGCCGAGACAGCGATATTGACCAGGCCATCCACGCGGCAGTAAATGCGAACATAAGCATATTTGCTGCAGCTTCCAACGATGGTGGCAACAAGCCGCGCGTGTACCCATCTAGTAGGAGTCATGGGGTTCTGTGTATCCATGCCAGCGACGGTCTGGGCAATGATGGAGGAATCAGCCCCACGCCACAAAGGCGCAAGGATAACTTCTCAACTTTGGGTATCGGCATCCCATCGAAATGTAAAGGGATCCCTACCCATATTTCTGGAACATCATATGCCACGCCTATTGCGGCCGCTTTTGCTGCGGACGTGCTTGAATTTGCCCGACACAAGTGTGATCTAAGTGAGCATGAAACAAAGGTGTTATGTCACTTTGATGGCGTTTCTAAGATCCTCCGGCTCATGGTCGAACAAGAGGTTGAGACGCGCGGTGGTTACGATTATGTCATGCCGTTTCATTTATGGACGACAAACAGGTCGGATGTTCAAGTCGCCGAAATGATAACCGAAATCGTCAATACTTAATGGCGACAACAAGAACCTGGGCGAAGATTAATGACATGCATGCACGCAGCGAGGGGGAAGGCCCATCACCAAGATGTTGCTTTGTTGGAAGAATAGTACAGCGCACACGTAGTGTTTGGGTATTCTACCCCCATTGCTTCTACTTTTACAATGGCCGTTTGTGCCTAGGTAGGCACGGGCATTTGCGTCCAGATTGCCGCGGTAAAGTACCTAGTTAGGTCCGTCAACCAAACTCACTTGCCCCTTATCTGAGGAATAAAGGAGCAGGGGCGAAAGCATAATTCCAATCGAACAACCTTCAGCAGAATAGTGGAAGAGGACGCAGTTCGTACACTACCTACATTGACATAAGGAAATGCACCATAAAAGTCCTAGAACCTGTTTTCGATCATCTAGACAAGAAGGTCTCCTGAGACATCTGAGTCTTAAACTCCTTGGGCAACATCCAAATCTCGTTTCCGTCGACGTACTCATCCAGATGTGGGTTGTTGTAGCCCTCAGGGTCCCCAGCAATGAAGTTGGTGAGCTTTTCTTCTAGCGCTTCACTATTTGTGCCATAGAAAGCAGCACCAGAAGTAAGAAACTCACTCTTCACCTTTTGTTTGCCAAACAGCCAGCCGGATTTCTCGTGGTATATTTTTAAGCACTGGATGCCAACTACGATATCACTTGACTCTGTGAAAACGTAGAGGGGCTCATCCTCCAGTTTGCCTTCGGCCTTTGGTCCAATATGTATGCCAAGTCCTCCAGGAATATGCGCACCCAGTTCGAGTTTGCCCTGGACATTCATCTTCTTTTCCAGTCTGACTGCCACCCCCTCGGCAAATTTTACTCCAGTGACCAGATACACAGGTTTTTTATATCTCGAGCCGTTCAGGTAGTCCTCTACATCGGACAGGTTAAGGCAGTCCGATATGTACTTTGCAGTAGGATAGAAAAACTCCGTTTCGACGCTGCCAAATTCGTATCTGTAAACCGATATGTTACTTTGCTGTCCAGCTCAAACCAAATGCAAATGGGAAAGAGAATAGCTTTCGGAGAATGTATACATGTCAGAATCATTCTGCTCCGTAGAGAGACTGGCTTCCCCGCCAACGCCCTGGAGGGCCATGAACTTGGCCCATAGGCCTCTTTCGCCTCTTACTAGATTCTTTCTTGTGGCTGTGAACCCTCCCTTGTGATCCGTATATTTTTCAGTACTAGGAATGGCGACCCGTTGAATCTCCCCTTGGTTGAGTGGCTGCATCTGTTCTTTGTTCTCGAAATCCCGTAGTACAGTTCCAAGATGGAACGGGCCATGGGGGGGAGGCGGAGTAGAGAAGTTCGGGGGAAAGTGGTAAGTGGGTTTGGCTTCCATCTTTTCGAACGGGGTGGCAACAATTGAATTTGAAAGGAATTTAAGGACACTTTGGTTCTCCGTCCTCTGGCAGTATTAGATTAACGCATTGTGAGGAACTGGACAAGCTTGACGAAGTTGCGAGATGGAGTGGATATAGATGTTCGCCGTAATGTAATCCCTATCCGTAGCGGGGTATCTGGTGGAAGATGTACAACCGCAAAACTTTCATTGGTCTGGTGTTTCATGCGGTCAGCTCCCATACTCAAGGTGATTCGTTCCGATCAAGCCTCAAGGCAATACCCCCGCCTGTTAGGCAGCAATGCGTCGACATATATGCCTCGCATGAAGAACCACCTTGGAAGAAGCGAACCATCAACAACAGCATGGAAAACAGGCGCCTAATGTTTTGCTCGTTCAAGAAAACCGCTAACTTGAAGCTTACGAGAGAGTGAGAGTTGCGTATCTGAGTGCCGAAGGTCTGGAACAAGCCATCGATTATCCGGTTGTGAGAATTTGGTAGCATTTACAATATAGCTTCTATCGCCTTGAATTCTTGAAGAAACTGCATTGCTATCAAACAAAATGCGTTCTGTTGGCTCATACCTGTCATTTTCGCTTGACTTGGTGTCGAGAAGGACTTCTCGTAACTGGAGCCAAGAGTCGGCAAATTGAGCTAAACTCCGGTCAGATTATCTGATATAAAGCGAGGCCTTGGCTCAGCCAGGTGTGAGAAACCTACCACCACGCCGTGCAAATTCACGGACAGCGTCAGCCCTGTCAACCTGAGCAACGGAAAGTGTTGCAGAGGAGAGGGCAGTAAGAGCAAGGAAGATAGTGTTGAAAGAAACCATGTTGAAGCTGAAAAAGTTATAAAATGATGAAGAGTAACGTGAGTTGTTGATACCAAGAAGTTATTGATAATAAATTGCGTTAAGAGATGAGTGATGAAAAAAAATATAAAAGTTGGAATAGTAGACTTTATATCTATAGTTTATAAAACAAGAACAGGTTGGGCGTATGCTAATTTAGTGATATTGTTAGTTTGGCCTGCTCGGCTAGCCAACATAGAGTACCTTTGCTAATTTCATTTAACCCCCCTACCACGAGATACAGTGCCGAGAACATAATGATTACCAACCGCTCGCCGAATCCCTAGATTATGCTTTTTTTAAAACGGAATACTCGACCAACAGCTTACACAATCCTGTATTTGCTATTCCCTGACCAACAATGGAACGTCAAACCAACAGCAAGCTCGTAGATCACTACTATTACTCGGGCATATTTCTCAAAACGGAATTATTGACTAATGCTTTAAAAATTATACCGCTAGTTGTATTGAACTATCTTTCTGCAATGCTACTCTGAACCAACATCTCAGAGAGCGTGGTAATTTTAGAACTTTTCTACGATTGCGGTCAATCAGCTGCTTAGCATGACCTGCTGATCACACCCGATGCGATGTCCAATTCCGCCGTCGACCGAAGAGGCCTGTTGCGTTATGCCATAGCATAATTTAAGATACCTGCATTTTCATACGTTGCAGGCCGGGCTTGGTCGTGTTCTTAGAGACACCTAAGGTTGGGACTGAGATGGGATAAAGCTGAGAGGTTGCACAGGAAGTCTGTGCTGGCTACTCGAATATTACAGAGGAAGATGCCAGACAAGACGCGATGATATCTTCAGCTGGCCTGGCCATGGGAGTCAAGTAAACACAACATTGAGGGTTTGTGATCGACTGATGTGGGAGGGGCAAATTTCAGCACGCAAGTATTCAAATACAAGCTTTCCAAATGATACCGTGAAAATTCGGACACTGGATATGGAAACTGTTGACTGTCGCTTTGCGCAACTCAGTGGCTACGTTTTCATGATGCTATCCGAATGTTACCTTTTCTCACTCACTCAAAAGATTGAGTGAAGCACTGAAGGGTAGGTGAGCCACATCCAAAGTGGGGGTTGAGTGAGCCTGGGATGTGGGTGAGCTGACCCGGGGCCGGAAAATCATTGATGCGCATCGGCAAAAATTTCAACTTATCGCTTATCAGAATACATACACACTACGCATTCTGGGTTCTTTCTTCAGCTTCAACCAAATCACCAGCCACGGAGCCCAACCGACAAGATGCCTCAGAATGAGTACATGGAAAGATGGCGCCGCCTCCACGGTCGAAGGTAGGTCCACCGACCCTGCGATCTCATTTCGGCGTGCACGACTAATGCGTTAGAACAGGCTCGACCAGGAGGAGCGAATGCGCAAGCGCCAGGCTCGCCAGGGCCACAAGGAATCCAAAGATGCACAGAACCTGCGAGGTCTCGCGGCCAAGCTGAGACAGGAGAAGCGACGAGTCGAGAAGATCCAGATGAAGAAGAAGATCAAGGCCTTCGAGGAGCGCGACATCAAGCTGCAAGGAGAATCCGAGGCGCCCAAGGATGCCCTCCCCGCCTACCTGCTCGACCGTGACGGCAACGCCCAGACGGCCAAGGGTCTCTCGAGCGCCATCAAGCAACGCCGAGCTGAGAAGGCCGCCCGATTCGCCGTGCCTCTCCCCAAAGTGCGTGGTATCTCCGAGGAGGAAATGTTCCGTGTGGTCAAGACCGGTAAAACACAGAGGAAGAGCTGGAAGAGAATGATTACGAAGCCGACGTTCGTGGGAGAAGGGTTCACTCGGCAGAACCCCAAGCAGGAACGATTCATCAGACCCTCTGGACTGAGATACAAGACGGCGCATGTCAGTCACCCCGAACTGGGAATCACGATCAAGGCCCCCATCATCTCTGTCAAGAAGCACCCCTCCGACCCTCTGTACACTCGGCTTGGTGTTCTGTCGAAGGGATGCATTATCGAGGTTAACACAAGCGAATTGGGCATGACGACTACTTCTGGAAAGGTTGTGTTCGGTCGCTACGCCCAGATCACTAGTATGTTGTCACTCTCTTCCCAATGTTCATTGACCTCGTCGTGCTGACCGCTCTTCTAGATAACCCTGAGAATGATGGAACTGTCAATGCGTGAGTCCTCCCCAGTGCCTACAAAGAACGTGTATTTATACTAACATTTTGTAGTGTGCTATTGGTTTAATGGACGTCTTTTAGGTTTGGTTGGTAAAAGGATGGAATGATGGCGGTGTCGCATTTTCGACAATCAGCTGACCACTGTACTCGCCCGGCTACCATTTTTTGAGGTTTCTGATAAACTATTTCACGCACCAGCCCTCGAAGGGATTGCTGGTTCAGGCAGTTGCAGGCGCAAGCAGTACGATTTTTGTTATTTCCTCCAGTCAGCATAAAGAGCAAAAAGTGAGGAGGGTTAGGTTAACTAGCGATGATCTCTATGACTCAAAATAAACTCATGCCGCTACCTACATGACACAAAAACGCGAGATACACTCGATGACTTCTAAGTATCTTGCCTCAGGACCTCACTTAGTGGAGTCAAGATCATCAGGAGTTTCCCTTCCAAGTGATGCTCGGTCTGCATGAGGTGGGAGGGGGGAACACCTTGGATCGAAAAGCTTTCTTTCGATTACTGGAGTGAGAGTTGCACATAATCATTGATTTACTCAACAGCCCAGCAGCATTCAAAGAGTCCAGCTCATGAAGACTACTCGACCATATTAATCATGCATGATCTAACCCAACTCCTTCCTCAGGTCCACCAGCATCTTACTCAACTCAAACAGCTTCGAGCACAGCTTCGACGACTTCCCCTCCTCGTATAGCGCCTCCTCGAGCAGCTGATCCAGGCAGTCGATCCGGCCGTTCGCCGCCTCCATCCGCCGCCGCATGTCGTCCCTCTCCCCTCTCACCTGCGTCACGCTCCGCCGCAGCCGCTCATTGTCCAGCCGGAGGAACGCGGAGGACGCGTCCTGGGGCGGCGTCTGCACGGCCGGGCGTCTGCTCTCGTTGCCGCTGCTGGTCCGGCTGTGGCGGCCGAAGACGTGGCCCGAGCCGGACTCGCCGGACTCGTCTGAGTGACGCCGGGTGCGGGGGGTTGGGTAGAGGTCTATGGAGGTGGTGCTGACGTCCTCGTTGGGCTGGCTGGGTGGTGGGATGTGAGGGTCGTCGATGACGGCGACGTCGGCGTCGTACATGTATGCGGGTATTTGGGACCAGGTGTCGTCTAGGACTGTGGGTAGGTCTGCCATCGGGAGCATGTTGGGTAGATGTGAACTATGTCGTCGGATGTTAGAGACGTGAACGGGAGAGAAAAAAACGAGGAGATCATCACATACAGAGAAGCGTTGAATCCGTGGCCGCTGGGCGTCTGCATCCCCGACATTGGGAGTGGGATACCAGCTACCTGAGACGCAGAACCAGACAAGTTCGACGGCGTCCTGCTCCCAGAGAGTGGCACATAGTCTACAGTTACTGTTAGTGACGGAGGGAATGTGTAGGTGCCTTTTGATACCACGTACAAGGGGTAAAAAGATAGCTTCCAAGCTCATCCTGCAACTGCGCCTCGGGGAGGAGAATCCGGAACAGATGATACCAATTCTCCTCTCCTCCGCTCACGAAGCGCTGTCCCCGTACCTGCCTCCGCTGGTCCTCGGTCATCCAGTACTTGGTCGGCGACGCCTTGCGCATGCACCCGTTCTTGCGGACGTGGTCGTCGAGCGTCTCCGACTTGGTGGGAAACGAGGCCCAGCACTTCTGGCATCGCACCGTGATGTCGTGGTTTCGGAAGATGTGGGATCTTGGAGAAACGATTTAGTTGAAAACTCTATCGAAAAGCTTGCGTATTTCCTTTTGGAACTTACTTGACCCTTGAGAAACCCTCTGCCCCTCCCTCTGGGTTCTTCCGGCTGGGCATGCAGCATAGCTGACACCCGATGGGATCCCACTTATTGTATGGGCAGGCGTACCTCGGCCGCTTGGACTGCCGTAGGGAATCGTACGGCGGTGATATCGGTTGTCCTGGTGGCGGCGGTCGATTATTCGCCTCGTCCTCGTCACTGCGACCTGGCCCCTCGTTGCTGGTGCGCCGTGCTCGGCTCGCACCCGTGTTACGCCTGGAGGATGTCCTGTTCATCGAGGAGGACTGGCTGGAAGTTTGGTGAGAGGACGAGCCGGGATCATCGGACGGGGCGGACTCATCAACTGCGAAGTCGTTTGTTGGGCAGACGGTAGTTTTGCGCCTCTTTGAATTTTGGGAGTGGCCTTCGGGGACATGGGCATTGAGCGCATCAATCACGCGCTTCTTCCCACCGTCCGCGGATAACTCAGTCAAGGGCGGCAGTGAGGATGGGACGTTTGGGGCCGACTCTGGGTTTGACTCAGGGGCAGATTCATCGTCGTCTTCGTTCCTGCTGAGGATCCACTCCAGGGACCTGGACAGGTGCTCATTGATCCTATGCTGCTCACTCAAGACGAGATTGGCTGCTTCCTGCCAGGGCGAGGGGACGCGGGTTGAGACGAGCGAAGACTCGCCTGATGAGCAACGGTCCACAATGGCCATGATGCTGCGTAGCTCCTGCGTAGACTCTGCATAAGCGTCTGTGTCCGGAAGCCGAGCATCAAAAGTAATGTTTTCTGGATCCTCGGGGACTGGAGGTGGGAGGGTAGGCTCTTCGGAAGCCTCTACCTGACTGCTGATCGAAGCCTCGTGGATCTCTTGATCGTGTTGTTCGTTCTCGGCGTGATGGTCGAGGGATCTTTCAGGCGATCGCGATGTAACAGACCTCCGGAAATTATTTCTATCTTCACCAGGCTCTGGGCAGTCTTCTGGGAAGTGGTCTTGGAGGAGGGACTGGGGCCATTCCCCGAGTAGGTCATTGATCTCGATACCGCTGTCCATATCAATTCCACTGTCCAGAGACTGCGCGGAAGCAACCGTAAACGAACTATTAGGTTCCGAGCATTCGGTCGGGGCGACCAGACTTGACAAGCCGCTCTCTTGGCGGACGATGCGAGGTAGAGAAGGGTACTCGCACTTTACTCCTCTCTTGACGCAATTACCACATGATGGCTGCGTTTCTTGACACTATTCTCTCGACTGTCAGTTCGGTCCATCCATCATAAATGCAATGACATAGAGTAACACCCACCTTGACGTGTCTCATTTTGCAGTCGGAGCAACCCCTGCGAATCTTGGTGTGCGGCCGGCGCTCCAACCTGGGCTTCTCCATGTCGCCGGGAGCAACCTCGGTGGTCACGCTGCAGGAATCAAAGGCCGGCGAGGTCGAACGCAGCTGCTCGCCATGCTCGTCGTCTTCCAGGAGGAGACCGAAGCTCCATGGCGGCTGGCTCAGGTCTCCGATGGGGGACAATGGCGGGATGGTGCTGTATCCAGAGTCGCAGCTGTCGAGGCTGGCGGTCGACCTGATGGATCCGTTGCGGGTGAGCTCCGACGAGCTGTCGGGAGGAGCGAGATGGTCTTTATCAAGACGGCATTGCCAGGCGGGCTTGTGGTCGAAGAAGGTGTCGTTGACGAACTCATGGGGCAGCATGTGCCAGCCGAGACGGTCGTTGTTGTGGGGGGAGTGGTGATGGCTCTCCATTGTGCGGGAGACGCTTATTTCCGGGCATGTGAATATGTTGGCAATACAAAGACGACCTTGGATTTCAGGAACGAAGAGAAGTGAATCAAGGCTCAACTGAGCACAGCAGAGCACAATGGGTGATGCCTAGAGCACACCACATAAGGCGTCTCTTGTTTCGTGCGCACCATCGTGCTCACCACCAGTCTGGGGCCCTCCACGCCAGAAGAAGCCGTCTCTGGGGAAGAAGAGTGCCCGAATGTGCGAGCTAGACTCATTTGGGGAAGCATCGGCGGTTCAGCTCTCGTCTGCCCCCTGGATTGGACACTTATCTGGCCGTTGGTAGCTGTTGGTAAGGCGGCCAAGGGAAGAGTAAGCCAGGGCTGACTGGTTGGCTTACCGGCGTACGTCATGAACCTGTAGCTGTGCATGATGACTGTCAAAGTCAATGGCGGATAGCCAGGGCAGCCTATAATTAACATGCCACAGGGACCCAATCGACCAAAGGACTGGGACACACTCGGCCATCTAATACGAAGTGGACTGGCAGACGGCTCAAGTCCCGGTGGCGGTATGTCCTACCACACCAGCACGGCTGTTATTAATAAACAGACGCGAGGCAGGCCTGTCTTAAGAACTCGGCGTCCAGGAGAAGGACTGGCGTGATGTCGTATTTTGCCAGCATATGCATGGTGGATGCCTCCGGGAAGACTTTAGGCAGCCATTGGCACTCGACAATCTTGCGTCTCATGCACATACACATACAGACGCACCCGTCAGACTGGCACTCAGGCTATTGGTGATAATGTCCAATGCAAGGAGTGCCGGGCAACGAACCAGGGCCATCCACGGCCTCGCAATTGGCTCCTTGGGGCTGTCAGGGGTCTCGGACCAGAGCCAAGACGCCCGAAGATGACGCTATATTGGAATCCCGCAGGGTCCAGAGGCCCCTGGCGGCAGTTCCAAAATCCCTCGCCTGGTACGAGCACAGGTACATGTAAGCAGATGTGCAGCAGCAGCATCACTGGAACGAATACGCGTCGTCAGTGGGATGCAGAAGGCTGCCAAGCAAGAGAAGAACCGGTAGGGGAGATCTGAAACACGGGCTGTTCCTGAATCCGACATGTGCACATGGCAGCAGCTCTCGCTTGTGCTGTGTGTTTGGTTGCATTGCCCGCGCCGCACACGAGTGCGGACACATCTGCGCCGGGCGCAAACATTGATTGTGGTTGATGCTATCACCAAGTGATGCTGTCAAAATGGGCAGCCTCATTGGTATATATTCGAGGGATCCCATCCGTATCTAGGCTTGAAAATCAAACATAATTATCTCTTTCAATACCAGCGTACACCTTAGCTTGCTCTCATACCTCGAATTGTGTTACATTGCTCCTTGAACCCATACTACCTACAACAAGATACACGCACACAAACACACAAACATAGAGAGACAGACACGCATACGCAAACAAGCACACATCCAAACAGACGCATACATACACACAGACTCATCCACAATGAGCCAACCAGCGCCCATCCGCCGGGCCAATCCCCAGCAACAAAGCTCCACCACAACTATGTAAGTCTCATTGCTGGCTTCGCCAATCATCCCCATGTAACATTGAAACTAACATCGATCTTCCTCAGCACTTACCCAGTCAGCAATGCTGCCACTCAAGGATCAGCGCGGGACGCCACTGGCTTTGGCACACAATCATCTCAATACCAATATCAATACCAACCCATCCCGACCAACGGCAACTTTGATGTATCGTTTGCGGGCTCCCAGTTCGCTCAGTAGGACTGAAGGAATCAAAATATAATAGATAGACATATACAAAGCGATCATTACAATTTCCCCATCCCAGAATCCAGACCCATGCCATGCTCCCAGCCATAATACCCATAACCCATAATCCATATCCCAACGTGACTCCAACCCTCCTTCTCAGGCACTCACCCCAGTCAGTCCGAGGCTGTTGTTGTGCCACGGCCGAGTGATGATCATCGGCAGCGCTGCCTCTCCGCGACTGCGCCTCCACCGGTTCGTCGACTCCATCAGCTCCTGACAGCCCATCAGCGTCCATCCCCATTTCCACACAAACTCGGGCGTCACCTCCCAGCTCTCCACCCGGTGCGGAGCGCCGTACACGATGAACCCACCCCGCGGAGGCGTCGTCGCCTCATCCTCCAACGCCTCCGGTGAACCCCCTCCGCCGGATGACCCCTTGTCGAGGAGGTGGCCCTCCGGCCGGAAGAACCGGGACAGGTCGATGAGCTGCCCAATCACATCGTTGACCAGCTCGGCATGGTCGAACTGGTGCTGCGCCCGGATGAGGTTGTCGCGCATCCGCGGGAACGGCAGCAGGTCGATCCACGTCGCGTGCCGCACCGTGATCTGCAGCTGCGTCGGGAGCAGCGAGACGGGCAGCCCCCCCTCGGACAGGGGCACGAGGACGGCGTTGCCCGGGTACGTCTGCTCGAGGTAGGGCACGAGGGGCGCGCCGTCCTCGGCGGCGGCCTCCTGGTAGTGCTGGGCCTTGCCCGTCATGGAGTACTTGTTGGCCACGAGGGCGCGGAACACGTTGAACTGGATCAGCTCGAGCAGCTGGTCCGCCGAGACGCTGGCCGAGTACGACTTGATGATGGCCGCGCGCGCCGAGCAGATGCACACGCTCACGTCGACGGGGTCCACGAAGGGCCCGAAGATTGGCGCCGCTGCCGCTCTCAACCGCGCTCGAGGAGGCTCATCGTCTGGCCTGGCCTTGCGGACGACGAGCTGCTGCTGCTGCTGCTTCTTCTCCGTGGCCTCGCCGTTGCTGTAGTGTACCCGCCAGCGGTCCACCTCGTAGGGACGGTCGGCCTTCTTGTCCGTCTTGTCCTCCTTTAGGCGAGATCCTGTTGTCCCCCTCGGCGATTAGTAATTGATTGATGCTTGTCATGATGATGCATGTCAAGACCCACTGCGTGCTCTCTGGTTGAGCCGGTTCTGTACTTTCTTGCGCTCCTTGCGCTCGCGTATACTGTCCGCCTCCTGCGTTGCCTCCATGGTAGATGCAGTTCGGATCAGGAGAGATGTGTCGACGACCGAGTCGCAGGGAGACGGGCGAGGGCGGCCTATTTGGGGCAAAACCGTCAGCCCAGACCAAAGACCGGGGCATTGACGATGAGCCCAGAGCTTTTGCCTCATTGGGCCTCAAAGCCCCAGTCAACTTTAGTTAGTTGGGAGGCTAGGCCGCAAAGAGATAAAAATGTCAGCCGGCTGTCGTAAGGCGGGTTTTTAGGATCGCCAAGTAGTGCCGATATCAACTATAATCCCGTGGGTGTCCGGCCGATAAAGCTTGAGTAGCTTAACTTACACGGTGAAGGACGGCAATGGGAATCCCAGGCCCAATATAACAAACATAAACGGAAAGATTCCAAGCTTTACCAAGGTAGTCCAAGGTTGTAGCTGTATCTAGTCTAGACACTTCCTTCTGCAAGTTCGAATATTTTCGCACATCCTTTTCAACTTCATCAGCTCAGTGAATACTAGTATTTCCTTGCCTATCGCGCATCTGCTTAAGGTCATAAGTTAGTTTTCAGAAACAGTTTTGCTCGTTTGAGTCCATAGCCGCAGCGGCCGCAACTATGCCCTGAGTCTGGGAGAAAGACAAGTTCATAGACCTTGTTTGCCTTATTAAGCTGTTGAACAAATCTCATAGTTGAAAAGTGGGTGACAGAATGATCTAGACCACCGGCAATGAGCATCAACTTTGCGCTGTCTGGAAGCTTCGCAGCGTGAGTGACGTTGGACTGCTGCGCATAAGACTCATTGACTGGGTGGCCTAACCACTGCTCGGTCCATTCAATACCAGCAAGACTGTTGTCGTGGGATCCAGAGTCAGCTACGGCGACCTTGTAAAAGTGCCCAAAGTGAAGCAGAGCAGATGCGGCATATTGACCACCAGCTGACGAACCAATGATGCCTACTCGACTGATATCCATCCATTCCCGAGACTCTGCTGCTCTTGTGATCCAAATAATCCGATCTGGAAAGCCTGCATCATTGAGATTTTGATAGCAGATATCGTGGAACTTCTTGGAGCGCCAGTTGGTGCCCATGCCGTCAATCCTGACAATAACATAGTCTTCTTCCCTCCAATCGCAGTTGCTATCCACCGCGTCTTGGAAACTCTTTGGAGTGGAGAAGTCCTGCGGCCCCGCATAGATATCTTCAAGCACTGGGTACCTCCTTTGTGGGTTGGAATGTGCCGGCTTCGTAATTATGCCATATATAAGAGTCTCTCCGTCACGGCCGAGGCAGTGGAACCTCTCCGGAGGCGTCCATCCCTGCTGCCGAAGCTCTTCAGTAGAGGTTCCCTCAACCTTCAGTTGCATCGTTCCATCTAGACTACGTACCACTGTCTGAGGTGGAAGATCAACTCGAGACCAAGAATCGACGAAATACTGCCGTGCCTCTCCAGGCGGCCAACTCCACAGATGGGTTCCATCTCCTTCTGTTAGGGCCTTGCATTCCGTATCATAAAGATTGGCTTGCACTAGATGTCTGTGATAAGGATCCTCATGCTTAAAGAACCCGTACGTGGAAACCCAAATCTGGTTTGATTCTTCGTCAATATGTTCAACCATATGCACGTTCCATTCTCCCTTGGTAATCTGATTCTCTATCTTGCCTTGTTCCAAGTCAAGTAGATATAAGTGATTATATCCATCTCTCTCACTCGCAAGAATGAGTTTGTTGGAGTTGGATAAGAGATTGTAATAAAGCTTTGAAGCAATATCAATAAAGGTATCACTACTTTCCTCGTATAATACTCGTACCAGCCCAGCACAGGTAATACCCAAGATTTGAAAGGTTTTGTGACCTCGCCCATGATATAAGAACCGATATTCTGATCCATTCTCAGCCCAGCCTAAATGAGACAGCTGGTAGTGGTTTGAGAATAAGTCCTTATCAGCGACCTCGATCTCTCGTTTCAGTGCAAGACTGAAGAGGCGGGGTTGATCAATCCTGGGGTTATCCCCAGCAAGCCTCCGTTCGCCCTTTAGAAGTTTGGGGTGAGATTGGGTTTGAGGGTAGGACTTGATCCAATATTCCGTTGTTGTGGTTCCTTGTTGAAAGTACCATGCAACTGCGAACGCCTTGTTGGGGCACAGAAAAATCATCTTGTCGTTCCAGTAAGACTCTTCAGAAGTATTTGCCTCCATGAGTTGGGACTCGACTCCTTGTTCATCCAGGAGCCATAGTCTCTGATCTCGAACCGAGATATGAGGGGCACTGCTTGTGTCTTCTTCGCTCAGCTGAGCAATACTGCCATCGTCTTGATGCTCCTGCGCTTGGGCCACATCACCATCCACAAGCAGAGCGCCGGTGGTATTCTCTCCCTCCTTGCCCAAGTATTCATCAACATCCACCTCGTCGACGATGACAGTGTCGTGTACTTTGTCTGGTACACGGTAAACCCCACGCAATTGACGAGACACTCCATCCTCAAGTCTCAAACATACCCCAGAGTAAGTCTTCTCAAAATGCGTCTTGCCTTGGGAGATGGAGTCGTAGGGTCTCACAGTTCCCTTATGATCGACATAGCTGAGACGCAAATGAGACCTTGCATTATTGATAAAGGTGACCATAACAGGCCGACTAGATGCGGTATGAGCTGAAGGCTCTTGCCTGCGCATAAGTGTCGGGTTTCCCTGCCTGAATGCTTCTGAGCACTTGGAGAGTCCTTTGATAGGCTCGAAGCGCCAGATCTGTTGCTTGAAGCGGAAACGGATGTGGGAGTCCTCAAGTTCAATCCATGAAAAGGGGAGTGCCTCCGGGTCAATTTTGGTTTGTTCCGGCACATGCTCCGCCAGTGCAACGGCCAGAGCATCGTGATCAAAGGCAGGGCGAGTACTTTTGCCTTGAACATCGACGTAGATGAATCTGTACTTCCCTTTGCTCATTTGCCGACGGTACCAGAATGCCTCACCCCCGGGAAGCCAGTGCGGGGCGACGAACGTCTCATTGAAGCACCTCTCCGCTGCCGTAGGATCCATGGGTCTGGTATTATGGTGGGTATGTCGGCGTGTAATGTGACTTCTGTACGTGGTATGATTGCCACTTGGTGAAGGAGAATGGAAGCAATGCTGGACCAACAGAGGATTGAGACTAAGACGCAGGAATTATGGGCAGAGAGGGTGTCTAGGGCTACATAGATTCTTCTGTTGGTGCTCCTTGCATGCGCGGTTGGTGCAAAAACAGGTCATACCTGCATGTAAGATGTAGGCTGACTGACCCATAATAAAGAATGCACTCCTGAGGGGATGTTTAACAATTCGAACTAAAGGGAAGGGAGGAAGTTCCCTTGATCATAGAAGTAAATCACAAGGGTGGAAACAATTTCGTGAGAAGCCCTACTTGGTGGGTTTATTTTAGTCGGCTTCATCTTAGATGCTTAGGAGGTGTTTCCCAATTTGAGAATTATGGCAACAAACTACTCATGATGATCCAGGAATCACGAGGAACACGGTTGGCCTGACCAACAGACCTTTCTGTAATATCCGCGTCCCGTAGGACCAACTTACGCAGCTCACATCTTCCCCCAAATGGAAGTGTTCTGACGGATGGTGCGGATTCTTTTATGCATAAAATCATAAATGAATACTAGATCTAACGAAAAAGAGACGTAGCTACCGGTGAATATGCAGTTGGTAGCAAGTGACATGCTACCCTGGCAGTTCTTACAATCCTCAGCAATGTTCCATGGCGGAAAGGCTACAGCCGGCAACACAGCGCGTGCTATAAATGGCAAAGCGAGTACGCAAGCTTGCTAGAACCCTGTAGGCTGTTGGCTGTAATGTAGTCATCTAGCACCAGAGCGCTTCAAGATGATCTCAAAACCTCGACGGTAATTGCCTCTTTGCTAGGGTTCGGTCAGTTGGGGGCGCAAGGCGTCCAAGCAGGGACGCGAACAGAAGGTCAAATTTTTTGGGAGACATTAAATATGACGCCTTTTTTAGATAGCTATATTTAGGTAGGAAACATAGGAGAAAGTTATAAAAGGACGGCCACTTTCCAATCTGTTTAACCACTTCTCATGGAAATAACCTCAACAAACAAACTTTCAAAGGCATCAAATCACCTTACTTTCCTTACTGCATTCCTTCTCTTCCATATTCCTTTTCCCAGAGGAAAAGCCTTTTCAGTTCTTCTCCAATACCAACGGGCCCAAATTCAACATGGTAGTCGTCAGGCGTTTGGGAGCTCTTTCTTTCCTCTTTAGTGTCGTTACCAGCGGTGCGGCTTCGTCCCCTGACAATGGCCACGACGTTACTCGAGCAGTCCTGGAAGATGAAGCTTACGAAAACTCTTTCTACGAACGCTCTTTTGGAGGGCTCGATGAGCGGGATCTTGAGGACCTAGCGGAGCTTGACGATGAAGTTCTTTATGCACGACAGAGGCCGTACAGTCCCCAGAGGAATTCTGGGCGCCCTCGTGCTAAACCTCCGCTAGACGATCCTTTTCCTGGGCCTAAGCCTAGGCCTGGGCGTCTACCTCTGCCGGGCAGTTCCCAGAGGAAGTCCAGGCGCCCTCGTGCTATACGCCCAGCAGACCCTGTGCCACCAAGGCCAGGGAAGTCTAAGGCTGATCCGCCTCCTGGACTTAGGCCGATTGGCTCCAAGAATCCTCTACTTAATCCGGTTGGTTCCAAGAATCCTCTACTTAAGTCGGTTGGTTCCAAGAAGAAGCCCAAGCGCTCGCGTGCTAGACCTTCGTTGCCCAAGATAAAGCCTGAGTCGCCAACTCAATGGATTAAGCAGGGCAAGCCCAAGCGCAAGAATCAATAAGGGCCGTTTGATGCCAAGAGAAGATCATGCTGCCGGTGTCTTGGCTCATAAAACCTTTTTCTTGACTGGTTGACAAATTGTGGTTGCCATCGGCTTGAGAATTCGGCACCTGTAGCTTCTCCATCAACGGAAGCGTTTTATGGACCATGGTCCTGTTTCATATTGCGTTTGTTCCCAAGACATGTATTATTATGTTGGAGATTCCAATGGTTGGTGGCCAGAGTAGGGATTAGTATTAGATCTACTCCTCCAATATGGTTTTAATCCTGCTCTTATACTATGATAGTATAGGATAAAGGTTTTAAGGAGAAATCCTTAGGGGTAGTCAAATATATATTGTTATACCTACAATCTTTATAAATTAGAGTTTAGATGCTGGTATCCTATGTAAAACTATTCAACCTAGTATAGGGCGAAACCATACTCCCTTAGTCTCTATGAAAGCCTAGAGTAGTGTTCAGAGGGGAGGTTGAGGTTTTATATTATACGAGAGTGGGTTTTTGAAAGAAACTTAAAAACAAAGAAGATATCAAGACCTAATAACTCAATACAACGAATACAAAAGGTTAACAAAAAAAAGCTTCGCGAGCCCAAGGCTGCAGTCATACGGCAGAGAATGCTTTAAACCTTCATACTGATGACTCACTTGCCGTCAGGATGAGTTGCGCGTCAAATGACTACTAAAGCTGTCCTCTTCACCTAACTTCTTGTCTTCTATCACGTCAATCCAGACGGCAAAAAGGGAGGAAAAGACGTAAGGAAAGCCGGGTTTGGAAGGGTTTGGTCATAATAAAAAAGCCTTTTAACCTTTGCACAATGAAATAAAACACAGTGAGGGGAGGTTTTATCTTATAAAAGTATCATGGTCCTAAATCATTTATGTTTATGTTCTTAATAGAGATGTTCTCGACAGAGATATACTGAATTGGGAAGCGTGGCGGTTGAAGAAGTTTTAGTACTGGGTATGCCCCTCCCTTGTGGATTAAAAAGAATTTGTTATTTTTATATTGAATGCTCTGTAAATAAGTCTATGACTAGGCTGCTGGAACAGGTCCGAGATGCAATCTAGGGGACTATTGCCCAGTTGAGATCACCTTGGATACGCTGCCAATGACGCTATTGATTTCTATGAGTAAGAGTTGAAGCTTTGATAAGCACTTGGCTTATCTGCGAGCAGCGATGTCTGGAATAGGCAGACTGTCGATTGCAAATGGACTTGAGCTGTGTGGTTCATTCAGGACCAGGCCAGCAATAGCAGCCTTTAAATAGATAAAAACAAGTATGTTAAGGTTCACAAAAGGAGTCATGCTGATGAAAGAGTTATTACCGGGTTTGGTATTAAACCTTATATACGGATGGATATAGTAATTATTGGTATTAAACCTCATGTACGGCCGGTTACAAGCCTCGTAGCTGGGTAAAAAGGCTGAAGTTTTTTGTATTGTGATACTGGGTATAGTATCAAGTTATTAAATTATTAGTATCTGGGAATTTCCCCTTTTTTTCTAGCAGCTGTATAGCTCTCTCACTTACTACAATGAGGAAGAGTATAGCTACTTATGTTGATCCAGATAATTATAATTTAGAATGTAAACAAGCTTGTTTGAGAAATACTCAAGTCCCGAAGAATTATGTGAAGTCGTACTTTAGTGGCTCTGGAGTGAGCGAATCTCCTTACTTGAGAAAAGAGTTTGGGTGGTGGCATTGAGACAATGGGGGAGTGGATCAACGGATTTCAAGATGGGAATATAGAACATGGTAAGAATATAAGCCTTTCTAGATGTTTCTTAGATAAATAATAGGATATATCACCAAATTTGTGACATTGAAAGTGAGACTCTCAATAGTATCCTGCAGCTCCGAAAAAGTTCGTGGGTGGGTTTGTACACATTGCCAAGATATGATAATTAACATCCAGGACATGATATACTGTCGTTTTCTGCTACTGTATTTTCCTAGTCATTGCGGGAATGCTTTGCTTATGATTGCTCTGCCATTCTCGCCTAATTGCTTCTGTCACCCAGTTGATCGAATTCACATGGGAAGATTTAGTCTCCGAGGCTGCTTACAGAAATGTCTCCGAAGCTGTTCACCTGAAGCTATTCATAAATATGTCTCCGAGCTTGCAAGGATATATTTGCTCGTGAGCGAATAGAATTGAAGCATGTACCTCTTTGGATGCAGCCACGCTGCTTCTGGGGAGGATGAGGCAGTTTCGATTGGCGAGCGCTTCACCAAGTCCCACCTTGATCGAAGAGGCCAGCCTCCTTCTTATAGTCAGACTCTTCTCCATTGTTAAGAGAACGAGAGTGTTGAGAGGGTGTGACGGAGATATAAAAGGACTTGACGACCACTTCATGCAATACTGATCTTCATGTTTGTCAAAATATCTTTTAAAGTACTACTTAGTGATACATTATTTGGAAATTAGGGACTCCTCGTAAGAGAACGGATATGGACAACCAGAAGATCCAAGAAACGCTGCGCAAGCAGTATGATGCGCTATCCACACTGGACGATGAAGGTGTAGATAGGATGATCCGCCAGTCAGAAGAGTTTATGGGCGGGATAGCACGACTGTTGCTCGAGCAGGCTGGCCTTAGCTCAGCGACTGCAACGAGCTTTGACCTCGTCGACCACGCTTGTGGCACCGGCCCAATCGCTGCCCGTCTGCAAGAGACGATCCAACCAGACGTGCTGCGGCAGAGCAGGATTCTCTGCGCAGATGTCAACCAAGCGTTTGTTGACATTCTCACTAAGCGCGCGCGGAAGCTCGACTGGATCAATGTTGAGACGAAGGTTTTGGATGCTCAGGTATTGACCCAATCCCATACAGAGAGAGCAGGAATGAGACTAGATTCTCTCATATGGACACCGTCGATTGATCTAACTAGCAAGCTGTAGAACTCAGGTATGGCTGACGGCCAGTTCGACTACATGACGCTCAACTTCGCATTACATATTATCCCAGAGCCGGAAGCTGTGCTGCGAGGTAACTTGCCCTCAACCTACTCAACATAGTCAGACGAGCTAATTGGTAATTCAGAGGCCTGTCGCGTCCTACGCCCAGGCGGGACTCTCGCATTCAGCGTCGTTCATGCTGATACAGGTATCGCGGGTGGGTGGGTGCCTGATCTACGGTCAGCACTCGAGACACTGCCTTTCAAGACTCCTCTCCCCAGTCCGGTGCAAATGGCGGTCCATGGCAAGCCAGAATGGGTTGACCCAGAAGGCATCAAGAAGGCTCTGTCGGCGCATGACCTTGTTGATATTGTAGTGAGGACTATCAGCACCCCTCAGCACGTAAAAGGTCCCGAGGAGTTCGCGACGAAGTTCTCCATGATCTTCAAGTGGATCATGGACACGTATTGGACCGAGGAGCAGATCGCGGAGTATCAGACTGGGTTTCGTGACAGGGTCATTGAGCACCTGACTGAGAAACATGGGAATTCTGGCTGGGACCTCCAGGGAACTGCAATTCTTGCGACGGCTAAGACGCCTCAATAGCTATGAGCATTTTCCCGAGAAGTGAGATAGCGAAGACGGATGTCTTAATATGGTTGGACAAAGATATCTGGTGGTTGTAGTTAGCATGCCCCCTGTTATTTGGCTTAAGTGGACAGGACAACCCGTTATAGGATAGCAGTAAGTCTGGTATTTATTTCAATCGAGTAGCATTCTGAATAGTGAAGATTGGAGATTACGGGCCTTTCTCGCCGTGACCTTGCTGGGCTCCGGGGACACAACTTGATCGCAAACCATGTGATTTCGGCCATGTGCCCTCGTACTGATTCAGAACCATTGCGATTTCACGAAGTTGAAGTTGATAGAAGCGTCATTCAAGCTGGCTGTGACACCCATTACATCTTACAGGTATTTTTGGGTTGCATGGGCCAGACGCAATAACGGAAAGAAAGCGGCAAACCAGCAATGGCAAGATTGATTGATGTTCTCCCTAGTCCTGTAGGATGGCAATTAGGACCAGAAGGACGAGTAGTGTTTTATTATGTAAGAGTAGCACGGCTCTGTATGACTATCTTGAGGTGGGAAAATAGCATCAAACAGTTCTTAGGCCTTGACCTCGGCAGCTCGAGCTGTAACCACGTCTTTGCTGTCAGTAGAGGCATCGGGCTCATCATACGACGGAGTTGACTCATCATCTAGATCAGCCAAACCTGTAAGACTCGTTCCATGTGACGTCTCGGAAATTCCCGTGTATGCCACCCAACCCAGCCCCGGGGCGGATAGGAAGAACAGAGCAAGGTTGATGGCGCAGGCGCCGACAAGGCTAAATTTCTTAACACCAATGACAAAGCCAAATGTCGAGCCAACAGATCCAATAGAGTTGATCAGAGCCGAAAGGAACGCGGCCTCGTTCACGTTATTGGTCAGGCTTCCTGCGATCCAGTACTTATAAGTCGTGACACTAAATTTACAGTTAGCCTTTTGCTATTTTAAAAAAGGTTCAGGGCCTGAATCCGAATACGCACATGGGATCAGATGCGCCCCAAAGAAGGAACACAAAACAACCGAGCCCATACTCGGTCTCGGCCCAGTCGAGAGTTGGCGTGGTCTTTGCGTAATGAACCTGCACGGCTTGACCGATGATCCAGGAGGCGCCGACTGAGAAGAACAGCACCAGGAAGCCGACGCGGGCTCTAGTCTTCCGGGAGAACCTCTGCCAGTCGAGGAACTGCCCCAGGAGCCAGGAGGCGAGGAATCCGCTGATATAGAAGAGCATGGAGTTGAGAGCACGAGATCGGACAGTGAAGTAGGAGTAGTTGAACTTCCACTGGTAAGCCAGGAACCACTGCGCGTACAGCATCATTGGCATCATCGCAAGCACCTTAGGCTGCTTGAGAAGTGCCCAGAGGATTCTGAACTCGCTGAGAATAGACTTGCTCTTTTTTAGGATGACTTTGCGGCCGTCGCTGCGCTGGACTCGGTCGGCGGCGGGGAGGAAGAGCGAGAAAGGTAGTCCGATGCACATGAGAATGATC